AAGAGCTTTCATTTGAGTACCTACATCTTGATGAGTGTAACATCGGCATGAGCTTATATCTTTAAAATATATATTACATAATTAAGAAATGACCTTGTTTCTTGTGAACTATTGACATTTTTCAAGATATAAGCTCATTTCGATGTTACACTCATCAAGAGCTTTCATTTGAGTACCTACATCAATTTTTCATATATTTATATATATTATATATATGTATATATGAAAAATATATGAAAATGCATGTATTTATAAACAAAATTCATTATTAAATAAAAATCTTGTAACTACTTAGATGAATATTAAACTTTATAAACACAAATAGATACCATGTAAACCCAGATTCTGTGATGATAAGGCTTCACAATGTTTAATATAGAGTCCACACGTCTAATCGAGATGTCTAATAGAATTGATTACTTTTGAAGCCTCTCAGCGACAGATGAGAATTTAATCGGTTATCGATCTCCCGTCGTTGTATTTGTCGTTGATATCACAACACACCACCATCCTGATTGAACTTTCGACATACTACTACAATATGCTGACTAATCATGTTTGTGTTTCTGGTGTCTTGTTTCAGGTTTCGAGCAAACAGACACAACAGTTACTTCAAATACTGGAAGTAGTTTGGATTGCCTCAGCATGATCGTGCAGAGCATCAGCGGAGAAGGCAACGAAAGTAATTTTTCGCCACATTAATAGAGGCCAAGTATTATTTTTAAACTACTATTAAAAATCACTATGTTTATAGTTAATATACATACTACCGGAACCAAAAAATTGTATAGAAAAATACTTAGCAAATAGTGAATAATTTTTTAATATTTATATGACCAAATTAAAATATTCTTTTTACTATGTAATTTTATATCTAAGACTTTTATTAATGTATATCAGTTAAGAGAAAAAAATTATTTCCCTAACAATTTATTAATTACTTTTATTTGGCTAAAAATAATTGTAGATGTTAACTCATGTAAATTACACTCATCAAGAGCTTTCATTTGAGTACCCACATGCATTTTTGGTATATTTTTCATTTATACATATATCATATATATATATGTATATTCAAATGAAAGGTCTCGATGAGTGTAATGTCGGAATGAGCTTATATCTTTAATAATGTCAATAGTTCACAAGATACAAGGTCATTTCTTAATTATGTATCTGGAGATAGAGGATTTCCGAATGCACCCTAAATACTTATCATAATAAATTACTAATTCCTTCAAAAAATTTTTTTTCTCTCATGATATTTCTATTAAATTATAAAAGTAATTTTTGATGATTATGTTTAAATCGATTTAGTATATTATATAAAATATGAATAAAACCATAAAACGTGTGTAAATACCAAATGAAATTAAATTATTAATCTAACGTTATAGTAGATTTTATAGAATATAATATAGTTAATATAAGTAATTAAATATATAATGATAAGTGTAATAATGATTTTCTCATTAAAATGTTAAATGCCTGTGATTAATAAAAGTAATTGCAAGCATTTGTCAGCTATTAATTCCAAATGTAAATTAATCACATTCTTTATATATTTAATTGTAACAAATTATCATTAGACACATTTATACAGTTGATGTATTCAATTACCTATAATTCAAATTGTTAATTAAATCGACAATAAATAACTTCAGAATATGTACAATATAATTAATCTTCTTTTTACTTCAAACCTTTCATTTTATTTAATCCATACAAAGTCTTCAATTTATTGATACAATAAATTTCAGTTATTGAATGTAAATTATAGGAACTAATAAATAAGAGCTTTGGAGAACCAAAGTGTATGACCGATAGGTAAACTGTCAGACTGGGGTAATAAAAAATTATATTTATTGAAATAAATCATACTTACTGATTTGAAAAATACAATAAATTTCAACGTTTAATTTAACAACTGCAATATTTTCATATAAATTATAAAACTTTTTATTGATTAAAAACAGTAAACATTCTGAAGTAATTTTTATTTTTCAATATGTCCTACTTGTTTACAAATTAATGATAAAAATAAATTTGATTTCAAAAAAATTAATTTTAATAAAGATTTTTAAGTTTGAAAAATCTTTAAAATGATATTTCATTTATTAATCAACAATTTTAAAGTTAAACATTAATTTTTCAACATTGTAACACTAATAGAAAGATTTTTTCAATATTAAATAAGCTTAATTGACTTTCAATAGATTTTTTTTACATTTTAGATGATTTAATAAATATTTATTGATTGTAAATGAATACTTTATTAATATTTAAAAATTATTTATCAAAACGTAAAAAATTATTTATTAAGCATAATTTTTTTTTTTTTTTTTTTTTTTTTTTTTCTTAGTAACTTCATTTTTCTATTTTCATTATTATCCACATATAGATGAACCCCTAATTGTATACTATAATCAGACCTTGCACCGTCGTATAATTTAATTTCGGCATTATTTCCTCAACATACATAAGAGCAAAGCTCTCCAGGCAATAAAATAAAAACATTAAGTTAGAATCATCATTAATCATCGAATAATTAACGAGACTCATCTGGCAAGTGGTTAGAAATATTAATGGAGTTTGGTATAACTAAGTTAATTTCATCAAGTTCTGACAAAAAGTTATTAATGATACCTATAAATGCCCTAACACTCGTTGGACATCAAAGTTGTTACAGTTATTAGTCGGCAGTTAGTTATTTACGTTATACAATTTACCAAAAATTGAAAAAAAATTGAGAAGAATTCGTAATTAAATTATTTTTTGATTTTGATTTGTACATGTTTATAACATGTATCATATTTATTGTATCACTGACGTAAAATCTCAGAGGAATTTCAAGGAAAAGAGGAAACACATTACTCTGGTTCATATTTACATACCTGTACATTCGCCATTACTTCTTTTGTCTTTGGCTTGCTGATGAGACTAGACTTTGTGATATACTCCAGTTTCATCCCGGCAACGTCTCTTGACGGCAAGATTAAAAGCTACGGAAAACCCAGAAACTCATTCAAACTTCCTTCATACTAACTTCCCATTCACTGCGTTGTAATAAAAAACGTAAGATTAGTTTTTTTTTCGTAATTAATTACAAGAATTTCATCCAGGAAAATGCATGGTTAAGAATAAGTCCATTAAACTTAAAGAAGAATAATTTAATCTGAACGAGTTAGAGATAAAGACAATTACTTTATTCAAAATTAAGACTTCGTACAAGAATTATACAGTCTTCAAGTCTATTAAAAATTTTAGTGCTTAATTCATAAACCGCACAACATTTGTGATAAATTTTCAAGCTATGATTGCATGAACTATTGTAATAAGTTGACAAACAATTTTATGAAATATTAAAGAAAAAATCAGGACATTTTCTTTTTCTAATTCAGGAAATTGATTTTCAGTAAAATAGATTTTTAAATAAATTTATTTTCAGAATAGTTATATATTGAGTCGGCTCTGAACTTTCGTTACATCATGAGCGAATTAGGCGCCTTTGTAAGTCAAAGTTTTATCCGTAACAACTTTCGTATCTCGAAATACTTGCTAAGTTGAGTTGAGGAAACTCAATAACTCAAAAATTTTTTTATATCTCTTGAAAAGTAAGTTTTAGAGAACTAAAATTATCACGCAAACTCTTTTAAGTTCAAAAACATATTATTGCCGTCTGTTACAAAACGGACGTCTTTAATTTGATGTAAGCTTTAAGAAAAAATTACTTGCTCTGTTTCTTCTGAACTACAGGAATTCATCGAATTATTACTTAATAATTAATAATTTCTCTAAAAACAATAATATTTATTTAATGCCGTAAGGTCGACGGCAAAGTTCCGAGGGTCCACCTTTACAAGCATAGAATGTGGGTGTATTCCATACATGCGTGTAATTAATTAAAATTAATTAATTTTATAAGAGCAAATTGGAGCGTAAATATTATAAAAGATCAAAATTTGTTGGATAGAAGAAAAACCACACGATTAACAATATAATTACGTAGGTAAAATTACACTCATTCATTAATAACGTGGACTCGACGATTGAATATTACAATTCTTTGTTGCAATTGTAATCTTCTGCGTGGTCGAATTTTCTTTAGAAGGATTTCAAAGCCGAGTACAATAAAAGCGAGAGTTGTGGTCAGCAAAAGGAATATGTAGGCAAAGAGCATGTTTTCTAGTTCAAATTGATCGTACTTAGTTGAGCTGCTAATGGATTCATATTCTTTGATTTTCTTTAAAGGCCAATGCAATGTTTTTTTATCCCAATGATTCAAAAGTCCAGCTGCTGCCATTTTCAACGCTATCTGATCAATCCGATCTTTAAGTGCCCAATTTTTTCTTACCCAGTATGTCATGTAAAATTTGAGATCAAAAGTCTTTGTAACATGTAATTTATGCTTTAAAGCATCCGCTACTTGAAGTTCACTGTAAGTCAAGCACGTGTTAGACGTATTATTTAGGACGTATTGTGAGCAACCCCAAAAGACGGGTTCTCTCGGTTGAAGATATTTTCTGTCTGACGAATTTACCCACAAGTTTAGGTCAAGAATGTTTGGTTCGCAAAAAGGAGTAAAATATAAGTTATATTTTTGATCATATACATCTTTGAAATTTTCAACATTGCGCTGGTCTGGAGTTGACAAATAAGACGATATTTTGCCTTGAACTGCCGGATTCATAAAGAAAATTATTAAAAATGACACTAAGAAACAAATCTTCATTGATGCGCGTTGGAGTGGCGTAAGAATTCCGGTGCCTAATACCATTCGTAAAATATCTAGAGCCGCTTGAGCATAGTCATTGTCAGTGTTTAGGACGATGGCTACAAAAGTTACTGCTAATACGCCTACAAAGAGTGCAGCAGCACGATGTATATCGTAAAAATCACCAACTTCTTCGGCAAGTATTTCAAACGGCCTGTATTGCGTCAATATGAGGAGTCCATTCTGATAGTGAAGATTAATTCGGTCAACAACTCCGATGGCATTCTGTCTACTTCGGACAGAAGTACTTATATCGTGGGTTGCGTTTACCAGTAGCTTTAAAAAACCTTTTACAGTATTATTCTTATATGCACCCGGGTCATCGTAATTAATTTTTGGTGTAACATTCAATGCTGTAAATAAGGTCACCATGAAAGTTCTATCACCATTCATCAATGTTTCGTCAAAACTAGAGATGTTGTAGGTTTCGTTGCGGGTAATATGCTCCCATGACATACTATCACTAGCAGCTTTTACTTCATAACCATCTAGAGCCGTTGTTTTATCGTAGCTAAGACTTTGACATACTCCTTCATCTGGAAATATGATTACTTGTAAGTCGCGGAATTATTTTGTCTGTATTAATTGATCTTACCTTTTGGAATGTACAGTTGCTTATATAAAGTCCACCAATTGTTTGGTTTGTCATCTGTGTTGACTTCGGTCCATAAATCAGGGGCTCTATTGGTGTACGGGTTGTAAGTGTAAAGCATAATATCGTTGTTGGGCTCAATGCAAAAGTAGAAGGAAGATAACAGATCGAATTTCCAAAGTAATTGCAACACTTGCGATGCATTTTGACAATAGTTCCCTTCAGCTTCGATGAACAAGAATATCGATACAATGTTCCAGGTCGGTGTCGATTTCAGTTCATTGAGGAGTCCTTGCAGTTGATCGGTTGAATCTGTTGATACGATGTACAGCGGATAAGCAGGTATGAATATTTGTATGTCCTTGGCCTTGAAATTGCAGTCGATAGTCATCATTGAGAAGCTTACATCCTCCACTGGGAGTTCCTCGATTATATCGATCAGATTGGTGGTAATTACAACTGGGTTCAGTCGGTCAGAATAACATGATTTGAAGAGTTGTCCCTGTTGAAAATAAAAACATCATTTATTGAAGAGAAATTAAATAAAATCAATGACTTTTTAAATATTTTAGCAATTTGTTCGATTTATGAATTAAAAGTTACTAAAAATTCAACATAATTCAAATATTGGTAAAATTTTATGAATTTTTCATGATGATCGAAAAGCTTGGTTTTTTACAAAAAATTATTGACGTTAATGACTATAATTAAATTAAAATCTTAATTACCATTTGAGTGTAAGGTGTCGGAGAGCGTTTGTACAAAATGTTATCGAAAGCTGAATTTTTATCAAAAAAATAGACAGCAATGAGCCACCAAATAATTATTTTCTTCCACATTCTTCTCATGTTCTTTCCACAATCTTGATATTGATCTATAAGTGAAGCAGCTTTTCACGTGAACGACAACGAATCTTGTTAACGTAATATCCAGATTCGGTAAAAAATTCAGCTCTGACATCCGATCTGTTCAGAAGAACAACACCAACTGATTTTGACGGGTGCATTTCAGAACTTTGATAACACCTTTTATAAAAATAATTATCAGGTTTTCAAAATCCTAGAATTCAGGCAGCTTTAAACCCTAGTAGGAGGATCAACAACACAGTGCGTATTAGTGCATCGATTGTCTCTTCAGTTCTCGGATATTTTTTATCTTCAAATCGATCTATCGTTCTGTTGAACACATTTTCATTGTTATATGTTGTAAATATTAAATCTAGTTGTAATAATATACCTTCAAAAATAAAGGGCTCGGGTCTGATGAGCAGTGGTAAAGACTGATAAGTTGAGAATCATGATGAGTAAGAAACGACACTAATAAAATATTTTACCACTGAATTCCCATCGCAGAAAATTGATAAACTTCATAATTTGTATCATTTCAAAGGTCAAAGTCAATTGGTGCTGCCAAATACGTAAAAAGACATAATTGGCAGGTGTGAATTGAAGCCACGTCATATCTAGGTCATTATTGTGCTGATAAAAGTCCAGAACTTATGCAGCGGTAGGCATAGTGTGTGATACAAAGTAGGATGTGCCTGTAGATTGTATCGCTGTTACGCGAACAACAGTCTTATTATTGTATCGATTTATTAAGTAGTCACAAATATTTAGCTTTTTGTGAGATATGTTTTAAATATGGAAAATAAAATATATTTCAATGATTCGAATATTTCAGGTGGAATAAATCAATTTTTTTTGTGTCGATATTTATAAAGTCGAAGATAAATTCCAATCAGTCAATTATCAGTCGTCTTTAAAAGATTTAATCTTTAAGAAAAGATAATCTGGATCATTCTGGTCCCAACTTTATCCAAAAAATTTGATTGAGTCTTATTCAGAAGAAGAAAAATTATAAATGTGGAGCATGAATAGCTGATTAGAGGGTGAATTTCAAACATCACAAACGGTTACTGAAAAGTATGAAAACCACACAATGCTGATCACAATGTAATTATTCTAGCACCAAAATTAAACCCACTCATTGATAACGTGGACTCGACGATTGAATATTACAATTTTTTGCTGCAATTGTAATCTTCTGCGTGATCGAATTTTCTTTAAGAGCATTTCAAAGCCAAATACAATAAGAGCAAGAGTTGTAGTCAGCAAAAGTAATATGTAGGAAAATAGCATGTTTTCTAATTCAAATTGATCGTCTTCAGTCAAGCTGTTAATGGATTCGTATGCTTTTATTTCCTTTAAAGGCCAATGCATCTTTTTTTTATCCCAATGATCCAAAAGACCAGCTTCTGTCATTCTCAACGCTATCTGATCAATCCGATTCTTGAGTGCCCAGTTGTTCCGTACCCAAAACGTCATGTACAATTCAAGGTCCAAAATCTTTGTAAGATGTAATTTGTACTTTAAAGCATCAGCTATTTGTAATTCATTAAATGTCAAGCATGCGTTAGAAGAATCATTTAAAACATATTTTGAACAACCCTTATAAACCGACTCTGAAGGATGTAAGAGTTTGCTTTTAGAGAAATCCGGCCATAAGTTTGGATCAAGAATATCATCTTCAAAGGCACGAAGGTAATAAAAATTGTATTTTTGATCATATAAGTCTTTGATGCTCTCAACATTGCGCTGCTCTGAACTCATCAAGTAAGACGATATTTTGCCTTCAATCGCCGGATTCATGAAGAAAATTATTAAAAATGATACTACGAAACAAATCTTCATTGATCCTCGTTGGAGTGACGTAAGAATATCGGCGCCTAATATCATTTGTAAAATATCACGAGTCGCTTGAGCATAGTCGTGATCAGTATTTAAACCAATTGTAATAAAAGTAACCATTAGTACTCCTATGAGAAGTACAGCGGCCGGGTAAATATCATAGAAATCGGTAACTTCATCGACAGTTACTTCAAACGGTCTGTATTGCGTCAGCAAAAAATAATTATTCTGATAGTGAAGATTAATGACGTCAATAATTTGATTAGCATTTCGACGTTTCAAGTGCATTCCAAGACCTATATCATGCGTTCCGTTCACTAATGATTTTAAATATCCCCTTACAGTGTTATTTTCATAAAAACCTCGGCTATCGTAGTTAATTTTTGGTGTAACATTCAATGCTGAGAATAACTCCATCATGAACATTTTTTCTATATTTACTAATGTTGTATCAAAACTAGAGACACCGTATGTTGCGTTTCGAGTTATGTTCTTCCACGATATTGGATCTACCGTAGCTTTCATATCATAACCATTTAGAACTTTAGTTTTATTGCAATTCAAACTTCGGCATACTTTTGTATCTGGAAATAATTTACCGATATAAATAATTCAAATTACTCATGATAAAACAACGAATTGCCAATTACTCAAAATTGAACGTCTAACAAGAATATGAATTTCTATTTCAAACGGTTCAAAAGTTATTGCAATTATAGTTGAATGCATAAGAAAGTTTACGTGTTATATTAATGTGAAATATCGAATAACCACCAGCAATTTTTCAAATTGAATCAGAATGTTTTGTCGATGATGTTATGGTATGAATGTTTTGTTAAAACATCTCAAGACCCAATGATAGGCGGCATAAAATCCTTCGATAATTATATAAAATAAATAATAGTTTAAAAAAACTAAAAACACGATTTTTATTTAATAAATTAAAATTAAGAAGAGTGTTAAAAATTTCAATAAATATAAATTAATAATAGTGTGAATAAAAAAAAAATTATTTTATTTAAAAAAAAGCGTGGGGTGCTTTTTTAGATATTATTGAAATGATAATCACTCTACTCATATTTGTCAATAAAATATTTATAACTATTGACACCCTGCACCCCACGCTTTTTTTAAAGTAAAATAATTTTTTTTTTATTCACACTATTATTAATTTATATTTATTGAAATTTTTAACACTATTCCTAATTTAAATTAATTAAAATTTATTTTCTATTTTTTAGTTCAGTTTTCTATAAAAAGCGTGTTTTTAGTTGTTTTAAACTATTATTTATTTTTTACTTTTTAGTTTGGTTTATTTATAAAAACGTGATTTTTTAGTTATTTTAAACTATTATTTGTCTTGTATAGAATTAAAATTCTCCTTAGTATTCGAAAATTTGTCAATATTAGAGAAATCAGCTAAAGATAATTATTGGAAATTAAAATTAACATCAAGTCCTGTCTTATCGACTGTAGAGAAAAATGACTAAAAATTAAAATTAAGTTTCTTACCTTATCAACTATAGATGAAAATTATATAAATAAATTAACAAAAATCATATTTTGCAAATTGAAAAATGGAATAATTTGATTAAATTAGTGTATTGTCATCGGTCCTCGATAAATCTACAAAGTTTAAACGAAATCTGGCCGTTTAAAGTTGGTCAAAATTGCGGCCAAAGAAGTCGGTTACAAACATACAAACATATACACAGGTGAAGCTAATAAAAAGCGTGTAAAAACAATAACGTCAATATCATTGATCTTACCGTATGGAATGTACAGTTGCTTATATAAAGTCCATCGACTGTCTGGTTTGTCATTTGTGTTGACTTTGGTCCATGAATCAGGGGCTCTATTGGTGTATGGATTGTAAGTGTAAAGCATAATATCGTTGTTGGGCTCAATGCAAAAGTAGAAGGAAGATAACAGCTCAAATTTCCAAAGCAATTGCAACACTTGCGATGCATTTTGACAATAGTTCCCTTCAGCTTCGATGAAGAAGAATACCGATACAATGTTCCAGATCGGTGTCGATTTCAGTTCATTGAGGAGTCCTTGCAGTTGATCGGTTGAATCTGTTGATACGATGTACAGCGGGTAAGCAGGTATGAATATTCGTATGTCCTTGGCCTTGAAATCGCGGTCGATAGTCATCATTAAGAAGTTTACATCCTCCACTGGGAATTCGTCGATTATATCAATCAGATTGGTGGTAATCACAACTGGATTCAGTCGGTCAGAATAGCATGATTTGAAGAGTTGTCCCTGTTATAAATAAAAACATCATTTATTGAAGAGATATTTAAAAAAAATCAATTACTTTTTATATATTTTAGGAATTTGTTCAATTTATGAATTAATAGATACTAAAAACTCAACATCATTCAAATATTGGTAAAATTTTGATAATTTCCAATGATGATCGAAAAGTTTGGCTTTTTATAAAAAATTGTCCGCGTTAATGTCTATAATTAAATTAAAATTTTAATTACCATTTGAGTGTGAGTTATCGGAGAGCGTTTGTACCAATTGTTATCAAAAGCGGATATTTTATCATACAAGTATGCAAGTATGAGCCACCAAATAATTTTCCTTATTCCCATTATTACTTTCTAAAGGAATTTAGTCAATAATTAATTTGTTGATTCTATTTAATTCACCTCGGTCGATTACAATCGAACAATCACTATCAGAAAAACTAAATAATTAATACTTTTATTATAGTTACAATACTTTTCTTAAAAAAAACTAAAACTTTAACAATTAATCACTCTTAGGTATCTATATTTGTGGTATTACAATTGATAAATCTGAAAGCCCAGTGGTAATACGATATTTTGTTCATTAAAAAATTACATTTCAATTGAAAAAATTATCGAAGTACGTAAATTCGCTCCTCTTTAGAAGGCAATGTTAACTGATAGGCATACTTGAGTGCAAATGGCAATTGAAGTCCGAGTAAGCCACGTCATATGTAGGTCATTTCTATGACTGAAGAATCCCAGATCTTGCATGACTCTTGCGTGCGCCATACCACTAGGGATGGCGTTAATACACATTAAACTGAGTATGAATAAATATTTTCCCGGGCTGCAGGCTTATTGAATTGTTGACGCGCCACTTAACAATTATTAGTCATTAGGTATTCACGCACGAACTTTGAAAACTCAACAGTAAACAAAAATCGATATAAGTAAGGAATAAATTCCGCTTGTTAAAAGATCCTTTATCTCACTCAATTGAATGTAACTTAAAGAAGAAACCATTTTTGACATTACATATTTTTATTACCCGAAAGTTGATTGAATTATTATTAAGCGTGGAAAAAAATATGATGCATCGATAATTGTTTGGAGCATAAGTTATAAAGATAGAAAAACAAATGTTGAACAAAATGGAAACCACACAATGCAGATGAATATAATTATCGCGCCACCAAAATTAAACCCACTCATTGATAACGTGGACTCGACGATTGAATATTACAATTTCTTGCTGCAATTGTAATCTTCTGCGTGGTCGAATTTTCTTTAGGAGTATTTCAAAGGCCAATACAATAAAAGCAAAAGCAGTTGTCAGTAAAAGTAATAAGTAGGCAAATAGCATGTTTTCTAGTTCAAATTGTTCGAGTTCAATCGAGCTGCTAATAGATTGATATTCTTTTATTTTTTTTATAGGCCAATGCAGTGATTTTTTATCCCAATGATCCAAAAGACCGGCTTCTGTCAGTCTCAACGCTATCTGATCAATCCTATTCTTGAGTGCCCAGTTCTTCCTTGCCCAGAATGACACATAATATTTGAGATCAAAAGTCGTTGTAACATGTAATTTGTACTTCAAAGCATCCGCAACTTGATACTCACTGTACGCCATACACGCAGCCAAAGAATCATTTAAAACATATTCTGAGCAACCCATATAGGCAGAATCTATAGGATGTAAAAGTTCATTATTAGACGAATTCGACCACAAGTTTAGCTCACGAATGCCAAAATCAACGACAGGCTCATAATAAAAGTTGTATTTTTGATCGTAGACGTCTTTTAAACTTTCTACGTTGCGCTGGTCTGGAGTTGACAAATAAGACGATATTTTGCCTCCAATCGCCGGATTCATGAAGAAAATAATTAAAAATGATACTATGAAAGAAATCTTCATCGAAAATCGTTGAAATGGTGTCAATATTCCCGTGCCTAATACCATCCGTAAAATATCAAGGGCCGCTTGAACATAGCCATTATCAGGATTCAAGGCAATCGTTATGAAGGTAACTATTAGTACTCCTATAAAGAGTGTAACAGCAGGGAGAATATCATAGAAATCAGTAACTTCTTCGACAGGTATTTCAAATGGCTTGTATTGTGTCAATATCAGGTATCCATTTTGATAGTGAAGATTAATGAAATCAATAACTTGAGAAGCATCATATTCAACCAGTTGTGATCCGAGACCCATATCGTACGTAGAGTTTACTAATGATTTTAGATACCCTATTACGGTGTTATTTTGGTAAAAACCCGGTTCATCGTAGTAAATTCTTGGCGTAACATTTAATGCTGAGAGTAAACTGGTCATTAACATTTTTTCTATATTGAATAATGTTTTATCAAAACTAGAGACATCGTATGTTGCGTTCCGAGTTATGTTCTCCCACGATAATGGATCTGACGCAGCTTTCAATTCATAACCATCTAGTACCTTTGTTTTATCGTAACTGAGACTTTGACATATTTCTTTATCTGGAAATATGATTACTTGTAAGTCACGGAATTATTTAGTCTGTATTAATTGATCTTACCATTTGGAATGTACAGTTGATTATATAAAGTCCACCGACTGTCTGGCTTATCATTTGTGTTGACTTCGCTCCATGAATCAGGGGCTCTATTTGTGTACGGATTGTAAGTGTAAAGCATAATATCGTTGTTGGGCTCGATGCAAAAGTAGAAGGAAGACAACAGCTCAAATTTCCAAAGCAATTGCAACACTTGCGATGCATTTTGACAATAGTTCCCTTCAGCTTCGATGAAGAAGAATACCGATACAATGTTCCAGATCGGTGTCGATTTCAGTTCATTGAGGAGTCCTTGCAGTTGATCGGTTGAATCTGTTGATACGATGTACAGCGGGTAAGCAGGTATGAATATTCGTATGTCCTTGGCCTTGAAATCGCGGTCGATAGTCATCATTAAGAAGTTTACATCCTCCACTGGGAGTTCGTCGATTATATCAATCAGATTGGTGGTAATTACAACTGGGTTCAGTCGGTCAGAATAACATGATTTGAAAAGTTGTCCCTGTTATAAATAAAAACATCATTTATTGAAGAGATATTTAAAAAAAATCAATTACTTTTTATATATTTTAGGAATTTGTTCAATTTATGAATTAATAGATACTAAAAACTCAACATCATTCAAATATTGGTAAAATTTTGATAATTTCCAATGATGATCGAAAAGTTTGGCTTTTTATAAAAAATTGTCCGCGTTAATGTCTATAATTAAATTGAAATTTTAATTACCATTTGAGTGTGAGTTATCGGAGAGCGTTTGTACCAATTGTTATCAAAAGCGGATATTTTATCATACAAGTATGCAAGTATGAGCCACCAAATAATTTTCCTTATTCCCATTATTACTTTCTAAAGGAATTTAGTCAATAATTAATTTGTTGATTCTATTTAATTCACCTCGGTCGATTACAATCGAACAATCACTATCAGAAAAACTAAATAATTAATACTTTTATTATAGTTACAATACTTTTCTTAAAAAAAACTAAAACTTTAACAATTAATCACTCTTAGGTATCTATATTTGTGGTATTACAATTGATAAATCTGAAAGCCCAGTGGTAATACGATATTTTGTTCATTAAAAAATTACATTTCAATTGAAAAAATTATCGAAGTACGTAAATTCGCTCCTCTTTAGAAGGCAATGTCAACTGATAGGCATACTTGAGTGCAAATGGCAATTGAAGTGCAAGTAAGCCACGTCATATGTAGGTCATTTCTATGACTGAAGAATCCCAGATCTTGCATGACTCTTGCGTGCGCCATACCACTAGGGATGGCGTTAATACACATTAAACTGAGTATGAATAAATATTTTCCCAGGCTGCAGGCTTATTGAATTGTTGACGCGCCACTTAACAATTATTAGTCATTAGGTATTCACGTACGAACTTTGAAAACTCAACAGTAAACAAAAATCGATATAAGTAAGGAATAAATTCCGCTTGTTAAAAGATCCTTTATCTCACTCAATTGAATGTAACTTAAAGAAGAAACGATTTTTGACATTACATATTTTTATTACCCGAAAGTTGATTGAATTATTATTAAGCGTGGAATAAAATATGATGCATCGATAATTGTTTGGAGCATAAGTTATAAAGATAGAAAAACAAATGTTGAACAAAATGGAAACCACACAATGCAGATGAATATAATTATCCCGCCACCAAAATTAAACCCACTCATTGATAACGTGGACTCGACGATTGAATATTACAATTTCTTGCTGCAATTGTAATCTTCTGCGTGGTCGAATTTTCTTTAGGAGTATTTCAAAGGCCAATACAATAAAAGCAAAAGCAGTTGTCAGTAAAAGTAATAAGTAGGCAAATAGCATGTTTTCTAGTTCAAATTGTTCGAGTTCAGTCGAGCTGTTAGTAGATTCATATTCTTTTATGTTCTTTAAAGGCCAATGCAACGTTTTTTTATCCCAATGATCCAAAAGACCGGCTTCTGTCATTCTTAACGATATCTGATCAATCCTATCTTTGAGTGCCCAGTTCTTCCTTACCCAGAACGTCATAAAAAATTTGAGATCATAATTCTTAGTAATATGTAAGTTGTGCTTCAAAGCATCCGCAATTTGAAATTCACTGTACTCTATACACGCAGCATGAGAATTATTTAAAACAAATTGTGCGCATCCATCGTACGTGTAATCATTCGGTCGTAGAAATTGATCAGATGAATTCTTCCACAAGTTTAACTCAAGAATTTGATCTTCAATTGTAGGATGAAAGTAAAACTCATACTTCCAAACATATACGTCGTTCAAGTTATCAACATTGCGCTGGTCTGGTGCAGATAGAAAAGATGATATCTGACCTTGAATCGTGGGACTCATGAAGAAAATCATCAAAAATGATCCTATGAAACAAATCTTCATCGATAGTCGTTGGAGTGGTGTAAGTATTTCGGCTTCAATCACCATTTGTAAAATATCTAAAGCGGCTTGGATATAATCATTGCCAGTATTTAAGACAATTGTTGTGAACGCAACTATAAGTACTCCGATGAAAAGTACAACAGCAGGACCAACATCGGAAAAATCAATAACTTCTTCGGCAGGTATTTCAAACGGCCTATACTGCGTCAATGTGAGAAAACCATTCTGATAATGCAGATTGATACTATCAACGACGTCTATAGAACTACGCACAATTCGCATAGTGAAACTTATATCGTGCGTAGCGTTTATCAATGATCTTATAAATCCTATAGCAGTTTCTTCAACATAAAAACCTGGGTCGTCATAATTGATTCTTGGCGTGATGTTCAATGCAGAGAATACGCTTACCATAAACTTTTCATCAGTGTTTTTAGGTGTGCTTCCAAAAGTTGAAATGTTATAAGTTTCATTATACTCTACAGATCTTGTTGGTGGAGCTTCTCCAATAGCTTTGATTTCATAGCCATCTGGAGCTTTAGTTTTATCATAGGAAAAACTTTGACATACTGCTTTATCTAGAACATTGTATTATGCCTGAATATTGTGGATCAAATAATAAACTAAGGGCCTATGCGATAAGAGTAGCATTAATTTTATTATGATCTTACCATTTGGAATGTACAGTTGCTTGTATAAAGTCCACCGACTGTCTGGTTTGTCATCTGTGTTGACTTTGGTCCACGAATCAGGGGCTCTATTGGTGTACGGGTTGTAAGTGTAAAGCATAATATCGTTGTTGGGCTCAATGCAAAAGTAGATGGAAGACAACAGCTCAAATTTCCAAAGCAATTGCAACACTTGCGATGCATTTTTACAATAGTTCCCTCCAGCTTCGATGAAGAAGAATATCGATACAATGTTCCAGATCGGTGTCGATTTCAGTTCATTGAGGAGTCCTTGCAGTTGATCGGTTGAATCTGTTGATACGATGTACAGCGGGTAAGCAGGTATGAATATTCGTATGTCCTTGGCCTTGAAATCACGGTCGATAGTCATCAATGGGAAGCTTACATTCTCCACCTGGAGTTCGTCGATTACATCAATCAGATTGGTGGTAATCACAACTGGATTCAGTCGGTCAGAATAGCATGATTTGAAGAGTTGTCCCTGTTAAAAATAGAAACATCATTTATTGAAGAGATTTAAATAAATCCAATGGCTTTTTAAATATTTAAGCTATTCGTTAGATTTATGAATTACAATCTTTATTACCATTTGAGCATGAAGTGTCGGAGAGCGTTTGTACAAAATGTCATTAAAAGCCGAAATTTTATCATAAGAGTATACAAGTATGAGCCACCAGATGATTTTTCTTATCCCCATTTTTCTTTCAATTTTAATAAAATTATAAACTAAATTAATTTACTCTATAATGTGAAAAAAAACAATTTGAAAAAAAAAAAACAATTTTTTTTTTTAACAATAAATTACTTTTTAGTATTTTTTGCTTTCACAACTGATGAATCTGAAAGGCTAGTTTACTAATACGATATTGGGTTAATTCAAAAATTACTTCTCAAATAAACTTAATAAAAGTATTTATTTTAACTTTGCACATTTGCTCTCCTTTAGAAGATAATGTCAACTGACAGGAATACTCAAATGCAAATGGCAATTGAAGTGCGATTGAGCCACGTCATATGTAGGTCATTTTTATTGGCTTTAGAGTCCCAGATCTTGCATGGCTCTTCACATGAGAAGGGATATCTATAATACACAACAAACTGAGTATATATAAATGTTTCCCCAGGCTTCAGGATTATTGAAGTGCGGACGCGCCACTCAGAAATATTGGTCATTAGGTATTCATGCACGAACTTCGAGCACAAAAATCGATTTTTTATAGGTACTAATATACAATAACTCTTTATTTTATTATTTACATACATCTGACTTTTTCGAAAAATTAATTATGAAAGTATTAAAAAATTTCTCATTAAGTTTCTCTTAATAAATATGTCTGTATGTTAATTAATTAATTAAAAAATTCTTGACCAAGTTTAATAGCTTTTTTCCCAATAAATGCACAATTAAGTATCAACAATAATTAGATAATTAAAAATCGAATAAAACCAACAAAGTTCTTGTTATTTCCCTTTTTTATTTGTCTTAAATCAATTGCCAAAACTGACCATATTTATTTATAATAATTAATAATAATATGAAGTAATAAATCATTATCCTCATCCATTACACGTAAAAGTGCAATGCAGACATTCTGAAGCTGACACATTCCCTTTGTAGTTTTACGTTCTACGGCAAATTGCTTTTATAGCTGTTTAGACAGCCCCCATAACGCAAATGGATACAGAGAAATTACATCCAAGAAATCGACATCAACACTTTCGCTTCAGCGAATCTGCCACGTCGTTTATACATAGTAAGTCCAACTCCGTTCCAGATAATTGACCTAAAATATCATTAAACCACGAGCACTTGGAATATCGCACTCTCTCTCTATATATATATATATATATACTTATATATGATAACAACAATAACAATAAACATAAAAGTAGTTAGACGTTTTGTCAACTAAACATAGTGTACTCACAAATGACCGGAAGTTTCGACATGTTTTCTTTAAATGTGACCCTACTAACCCTCTATTTTCTTCTAGGAGCTTGTAACTCGAGCTACCATGGACCCGCAAAGATAAATAAAACGTTCGTCTAATTCAAATTCTCGCTAGACTTTGTCACATTTTATGGATTTATTTTTCTTCTTAAATAAACACTACGGTATTCTTATATTATTTATTATTTATTATATTAATTAATCGTTTGACAGTTTAATGCGGCTATTAATCATCTCGAAATGTAACTTCCTGCACTTGAATTCTGAATATTGAATAATGATGCTTCACTAACAATACTTTTTTACCGAAAAGAAATAAAAATAAAGATAGGAGCAGAAGTATCTCTAATCTGTAAGCGTAAAAAATTAAATTCACATTAAGAATAATATAGTAGAGTAATAAATTAATTTTATGAATGATTTAAGCGCCAGTTTAAACGGAAATAAAAAACATTAATGGGAAAATTTTCTTAAAGTATATCTTGTTTTAAGTGAGTAATATTTAGTCTACTTGATTACTGAGAAGTAAAAATCTAGTGCTTCAAATTGATGGAATAATTATGAAATTAAAGATAGCAGTCACTAGAAAATTTTTTAATTTTTTTTAACAAACAAATTTGTTTAAAAAAATTAATTTTAAAAAATTGCATTTTTTATTTTTTAAAATTTCTAGATGTCAATTTTTTTTTTTTGTCATAATTTATTAGAAAATATTACTTTTAAAAAATTGCATTCTTTATTTTTTAAAATTTCTACATGTCAATTTTTTTTTCTAATTTTTGTTGCCATAATTTATTAAAAAAAAAAAAAATTCTAAAAATTATTAAATATCATCTTCAAATTATTGATCAACAATTTAAATTAAGGGCTTCTTAAATCTAAAAATTTGACGAATAATCTATTTTATTCTTCGTTCATTTTTTGAATTATTTTCATCGTTAAAAATAAGTGAAGACACGCGTCTATTCAATGATCAAAACAATTTAAAAAATTAAAAACTAAATATTTAACTATTTTTGTCAACAAAATTATTGTCCTTCCCGATTTTCCCTTGAGGGTGATATATCAGTAACAAATCACGCGAGAACGTGTCTCTTGAGTATCGCCGACGCAGTTAAAAGTACGAGACTCTCAAGTGGACCTCTTATAAGATTAAAAAAGCACTACTTTGGTATAAAAACTACTGTATTAGCAGCTGTACTAGTATAAGTGTAAGTGTTAGCTTCATCCTTAATCCGAAGAGTTCTAGTTTTTGTATGAAAATGAAAAAAGTTTAAATTTGCCGATAACCCCCGACACAACATGATAAACGGCGGCAGATGCTTCATTATGATCCCTCTAAACATAAAAGCCCTTGTGAGGGCTAATAGAAAGGATGTTTTCAAAACGTGTGCCGAAAGTTCAACAAAGTGGAAACAGCACTAGACATTTAGTCTACATTCGACTTTACACTGAAAAATGGGATTAAATGTTTTTTTTTGTTTTCCGGGGTGGGTTATTACCGAGAGTTATTAGTGCTTCATGGATCTCCCAGTCAAATCCCTTGGATCAATATTTAAGTAGCAGCTGCATTTTATTTAATATATGAGTTTACATATTAAATGCTTAGATCTTGGCTCGTTCCAAATAAAAACACTTATTAGGGAGTTTTATTTAATAATATATCACCAAAAATGGCTGGGTGATTTATTGGCGCTAATTAATAATTTGGAATTTAAAGATATTAAATTTTTTATAAAAAAGTGTTTTTTTAATATCAACTCAAAAAAATCTTTTCAATTTTAATTTTTCCTTTTAGTAATTTTAATATAAGAAAAATTATTTGCGACATAGAATATCAGTAAAATTATTTATTTTAAAATATTCGGCCTGTAAAAAGAGCTAATAATTTTTTACGATAAAATTCTATGCAAATTTTCTTGCAGATATCATTTTAAAAAAAATTCTCGTTCGAAATTTCAAAGTCGCGCATCTTTAATATAAAATTTACATATTTATTATCTGTTGTTTCATAAAATTGTACACTGATGAGAGAATTCCAAGTTGCATTGTTAAAATTTCAGTCAAGGTTTTCTGCGCTTTTCCCATTACTTCTTATGTTACAAGCAATTTGTTTGTTTTTCCCGAGCTCAGCGACGAGCACCACAATGCATAATATTTTTAAAAACTATTTATCATTTTTAAAAACTAAAACAAGCAAAATTATGCATATAGTGAATTCGTAATCCATGTCACGAATTTACCTCAGTCTATGCAGAATTATAGTCGCAATAATTTTGGCGCATTCCACAATTACGAAACATATCTAGCTCTATTAATTTACTATCTCCTGGGCCATTCCGTGGGCGTCTGACCGAAAGTAGTATGAGGATAAATTGACCGCGACACACTCAGAGAGATGTCCGCCCCGGAAATATATGTACAACCGACTACATGTGTGTCATTGAAGGTACACGATATAGGTTGTGTAGATTATGAATGTACGGATCTGTGTGCGCGGAATGGAAAAATTTGCGAACCACGCCTTGGCACCTACGAATTCCTCATGTAAATGTTCAATATTTATGATCAGAGTGAAAAATATTAACCTGTTAAATGTCAGATTGGGGTTGCAATTATTTTTATGCTTTTTGATACATTAGCTCAACTAATTTTTCCTTTAAAAATTGGAAAAATGATCTAATTAATTTTAAATTAAAAAATCTAAATCAAAAGAATTAAATTAATTTAATAGCAGCAAAAAAAATACTGAAAATCAATTTTATATTGTGAAAATTAATTTTATATAGTAAATGATTAATTTTAAATTGTAAATATTAATTATATATTTTAAAAATTAATTTAAGATTATAAACAATCAATTTTATATTATGAAAATTAATTTTAGATTAACAATATTTAATTCTATATTAGAAAAATTAATTTTAAGTCATAAATAATTAATTTCAAATACCGAAAATCAATTTAATAATGTGAAAATTAATTTTATATTATGAAAATTAATTCGAGATTATAAATAATTAATTTTAATTTCGAAAGTTAATTTGATGTTATAAAAATTAACATAGCTCTAAAAAAAAAAAAAGCACCGTACGTAGCATAACTTCCGGGTTTGAATAGTCCACCCAAGAAATTTTCCTACTGACACGCCCAAAGTAGCAGTTTCCGTTTCACAACCGCTAGGTCTCCTTGTCAAGTGAATTCTCGAGCTAAGAATGAAAATTTTAGATATAAAAAATCAGAGTGTAGTATATAAAATAAAATATAGAGCATGCGGACATGTATATATAATTGTGAATGTGGGAGTACACTTGCACCTTAGATATGACACATCGTATTAGAAATAGCGATGTTGTAAGATGAAAGAGACCGCGAATGGTGTATGACGGTAGTTACTCTTAGCCAAGAGTACGTGATACATCCACTTAACGTCAAATGCACATTGTAAATAAAGTACTTTGAGATACGTTTAATATTGCAAGAGTTAATGCTTAAAAGATTCAAAACTTTAACTTTCACGGTACAACTCCTTATTCTAGGTGTTGTTTTATTAATTGTAATAGATTATAGCGCTAACACTTATACAGTATATTAATGTATGTTACACCAACTCATAAATATTAAATATGCGTAATTTTGTTTCTTAGTAATAGATGAGATTTATAGAATAAATTAATTTAATTTTATAAGCCTTAATTAATTCCATCGATATTGGAGGCGCAATTTTTTTTTTTTTGAATGTATAAATAATTTTTATCATTTTAGTTTAAGTATTTATTATTGATATATTTTTTAAAAAATTCTAAACCATGTAAATAATTAAAGTAAAAAAGTTATTGATGAAAATTAATTTAATAATTTCTAGATCTTATGTTAACAAATAAATTACGGCTAAAAAAAAAAATTGACATGTAGAAATTTAAAAAAATTGAAAATACAATTTTTTAGAATTATTTTAATTGTTAAATAAAATTAAAGATTGGTTAAGTGACAGCTAACTTTAATGTCATAATTTATTGATAGAATAAATTTAACAATATAAATTCTAAAAAGATTTTTGTGAAAAATTAGACGATTAGCTTCAGCCGTCTTTTCCGACACAGATATCTAGCATATGTATTTAGTCTTGTCTCGTAACTAGTCAGTAACATATAACATGTTAATATATACAGTATATAATATACCGTGGGATTCAGCACATGATCCACAGATTGACACAAAATTATGTTGACGCCGGGTCGGAGATATAGATGTCGGGAAAACATCTGGCTTAATGTAGTTGACCTCTCACAGAATAATCGACTTTAAATTTAACAGTTGTCTCTGTCAGGTATCAAGTGTTTGTGTCAACGTCAAATACTTCTATAATTTAATGATTTATTGGAAATTTTGATGCGTTTTGCACTTACATAATAAAAAAAAAATAAGATTAAAGATATTATAAACAAGCAAAATCAAAAAGTGAAAAGATATCAAATTAAAGTAAGTATCCATGACTGCAGCAAGAGATTATACAAAGAAAAATAAATAAAGAAAAGAGATAAGAGATAACTTTGAAATTCTCCTTTTACTTTTTCAATTTGCCATTGGAGCCTGAAAAAGGAGATTTTTTTTTCCCGTAGATCTCACTTTTAAGTTGTTTTTTTTATTTGTTCTCATTCTTATATAAAACGAGAAGCAAATTGCTCTTTGCCTCTCACCACTCCGACGGTTTATACTCAACTCCTATTCCGGATCTAATAGAATCGCCGGTTTCAAAGAGACAAAGGCAATTCACCCAGAAGAGGTGATATTGGGCATGATGGAGGAAATCGATTAAATGCAAATGCGACCTACCACTGGACACAGGCATATTGCCTTTTTAATACTTCAAAAATTGCTTTTTAAACTTTCGAAAATTATTATTTTGTTCTCAAAAATGTTTAATAAAAAAATAAGATACTAATTTATTGAATTAAATTTTAAATATAAAAATTTCCCTTTGAAAAATATAATTTATCATTGCTATTAAAATAAAAAGACTGTCGAAAGTTTTAAAATTTTTAAATCATCTCATTTTCCCACGACTAGGCAGAACTCAATTATTTTTCTCATGTCTAATTTACTAAATGGTAACATTTTAACTTAAAAATTTTTAGAATTTAATATTGATTTTTTTAATTATAAATTTCAACGGTACCCCGTGGCGCCGAAATTTCCATATATTATGTAAAAAAAATTCTTAACATCATAATGTATGATGGAAAACGCAGTAGATCACGACTAATTGCCTGGGAATCGACAGAAAATGTCTAGACACTCTTTTCAACTGACACTTTGATTTCCTCAAAGTCGAGTCATTAGATACAGTCCTTCTAAAATTTTGACAGATTCCTTCACTTTGACTATTTCAAATGTCACATGTTACTCTCCACTGTTTCTTTTAAAGTTTTAAAATTTATACAGACTATTATCCGCTTTGGTCTTTCATCATACCGACTTTTTAAATTTGATACTCTCTCAGTTGAAGAACTTGTTTTAAAACAACAAAAAATATCGCGATTTGTTACAGCTGAAAAAAAAGTTTAACGCTTGTTTTCATTCCTTGCTCCTCACGGCTGTAGAATTACGTTTTTTGCTGGCTTCCCGAACGGAAATTGAAAGTTTCCGGAAATAGGAAAAAGTTATCAGCGGAAAAATGAATGGAATTGACTTTTTTTATAACTTGCTTGTATTATTTGCTTGTATTATTTAATAATTATAATTACCTCTGAAAAAATTAAAATAAATTAACAAATTAACTAAGAACATTGTAAAAAATTTAATATTAAAGAAAGCGTTCCCAAAAAATAAATTTAGCTCCATTTACTTAAAAAATAAATAAATAAGTAATAATATTAGTCTATTTCAGGATATTTCTTGTAAGTGGGCATGTAAATATATTTATAAGTAGAAGCTTAGAGGTTTATAAAGAATTTCTGACCTACACGAAGAAAAATATTTCCTTAATTCCTTGGCACAAGGTATAATCCACAGTACGTGATGTCCGGAATCCACTTGGATTAACAAGATAAATGTGTAATGTTAAAAGAGACCTCACACGTGAACGGAAATATCATCAAAGAGTAGTTATTATTCGGGGGGCGGAGGTAACTGTTTAATTTACTTTGGATTGATGACAAATTACTTGACAGATTTTAGAATTATTATCCATGTTTATAGGAATAGATATATGCCATAATACTACTTTATATCGGTTTTTAACAATGTAATTATTTTACTCGATTGCAATAATATTTTACACTTATTTTCGATTTATTATGAAAAGTTTACTTTTAAATAATCAATTAGATATCATGAATTACTTTATTTTTACTACAAATTAATTATAATAAAAAAATATTTTTAAAAAACTTTTACATCTAATTTTTTTTTTATTTCTAAATCTTGAATTTTTTTATTAAAAATTATTCCATAATAATCAAGTTTTCAAAATCCAAACAAATTAGCAGATTTCTTTAATTCAGTATGATGATAAAAAATAGTGAACATTCGTACTTATAGTGCCATCTGTGGGCAAACTGAAACATCTTTCACAATAAGTTTTTTTTTTTAAACTTTAACTTGTCGATATCGTTTCAAAAAAAAAAAACAAATCTGTGAATGCAATTGATTTTTATTGATTATAAAAAACAAAACTGATTAATAAAACAAATTATAATTAATAACAGTAATAATATTAAATTAATTGTCTTAATAACTAATGTTCTTAAGTGATACATGAAAGTATTATAAAATATTTCTAAAGTTACCGACAAGTGTAAATTAGTTTTGTGAATGAACAATCAGATAATTGTAATTAGTTAATAGACAGTATAAACAATGGAGATTAATTATGCGACGATAAAATTGATTATTTACGATATTCGGATGTACGTGACAAATTTTCCGAGTTTCAACGATCTTGACAAGTTGCTATTGGTTGAGGTTAGACTTTTTCACAGGACAAAAACCTAATTTATAATAATAAAAAATCAAATTTATTATCTATAATTAAAATGCGGGAATTACAGAAATAATGTGAAGAATAATTCGTAAATGTAAATCTGCAATTTGGTGTCAAAGTGAATCTTAAGATTCCAGTCAAGGTAAATTGTTTAATATTTCTTAAAAAAAAAAAAAAATGGAAAAAATAAGATTACACTGGATAACATTCCAGATTATACTCAGTGACATCTGTAGTGAAAAAAAATTTCGGAATTGTAGATATCTGGATTATACTCATTGTAATTTTTCATTTTTTCCAGTATCTCAAATTATACCGCATAAGATTCCACTGGATATAATCTAAAGTCGTATCCTGTAGAATTTGGATTATACTCAGTAAAATTTTGGAATATACCCAGTAATATCTGGGCCATTTTTTTTTTTTAGTGCTTGCGCATTTTCAAGAATAAATTATTTAATGAATGAATTTCATAGATTTTTTTTAATTTCCTCATATACAGATCAATAAAATTCTGATAAACTTTAATAATTATTTTTTTAATATCTTTATTTTTCATTTCAATTTTTTAAAAAAAAATAAAATAAATTTTCTATTCGTTTATATAATTTCTCATTTATTTATTAAAAATTAATCTAATTACATTCAATAAAAAATGAATAGGTACATTTATAAATTATAAACCCCGACAAGTAATAAAATAGAAAGATAAATATTAGCGTGAAATTTATAATATGAATTATAACCAGCACTTTTCGGACACTTACAATTCCCGGCAATGCATACAGTATTATTGTTATTATGAAACAAAACAGAATTTGTGCGATTTTGCGTGTAAATTATTTCTGTTGGTAGTCTATTACCAACACTGTAGACATACCTCGACGATAATCTCATCGAACTTTTACCATCAGCACAATTATCCTTTAATTTAATATTCTCATTAACAACTAAATTAACGCTGACGTTCAAAAACACGCAGTTAATAATTTGTGCGTTCAAACCTTCGATTGGTATGTCGCCAGGTTTTTCAAATTCAAATGTCGAATTTATAATTTCAATTGACTCGAAGTACGCGAAATTCAAATCACCCGCCACATTGCGTATTATCGTGTCGATTATTTTCAATGTTTTGCCTTGCCCGGAAAAATTAATACCGATCATTTGCTTTATTGAGACGTTGCGCAAGATGAAATTATCGATGCTTATATGGGCGAATTGTTCGTCGAATTGGTCGATCCGTGTGTCTTCAATCATTAACGTTTCTATGCTCGATATGCTTGTGAATGTGTCGTGAGTTATTATTGGTATTTTTTGGATATTTTTCAACTTGAATGTGTCTAATTTTTTTGATATCACAAAAGGTTCAAATTTTAAACTTCCGCTGATGTTTTGGATCAATATATGCCGAATTATTTGCGCGTTTGGCAGACTTGAAAAGTGTAGGTCGGCGAATTTGCATGATGTAATTGCTAAGTACGACACATTTTCGTAGTTTATGTTGCTTGGAAGATTCAATTCCTGGAACAATATTAAAAAAAAAAAAAAACTTATTTGTTTTTCAAAATTTTTGCTTAAGAGTTTTTAAACTGAGTAATTAATAATTCTCACATTTTTTTCTCAATTATGGTTTTTAAAATAAAAAGTTTACGTAAAATTTGGTAAAAATTCAATTTTTCAATATTTATTTTAGAAAGCAACTTATTTGAGGAAAGTAATCTTAAAATTTCATTCAAAAAATTATTAAGACAGTCAAAACTAGTATTAAAAAATTTGCAAAAATATTTTACAATTTTCTACAATTTATTTGACTAAAATATAGATAAATAATTACGAAATGACTTTGTGTCTTGTGCACGATTGACATTTTTAAAGATATAAGCTCATTCCGATGTTACGCTCATCGATGAGACCTTTCATTTGAGTATCCACATCAATTTTTCATATATTTATATATATTATATATATGTATATATGAAAAATATACCAAAAATGCATGTGGGTACTCAAATGAAAGCTCTTGACGAGAGTAATATCGGGATGAGCTTATATCTTTAAAAATGTCAATATTTAAGAAAGTACAGTGCAATTAAAAAAAAATCATTATTTAATAAAGCAAAATTTTATTTATTAATCTAATATTAACAACAAAAATTACTTGCTATTTATCATATGAATAAAAACAAAACTTATTGTCAAAAAATTTTTATAATTCTTTACTAAATAATAAAATAAATTACCTCATTTCCATTACATTGACACTTAATAAGTTCTCCATGTTCATGATTACATGTCTCACTAATGATTTCACTATTTATTAACCCAGAGTAAGTCAAAATACTTAAAAATACACTTAAAATTTTCATATTGCAACTTTTAAATTATTCAATCAACAAACACAAATTATTGAATTAAGTATCAGTTATGTCTCCATAACAATCCGCGTATAAAGCAATAATAACTTAAAAAAAAACTTGGATTAAAAAAAATCTTTGATTAAGGAAAAAAAAGCACAACCAATTCCTGTTGACTTGATAAACTTGTGAATCACAGTCGTTTTTCTTACTCCGTGCAGTATTTGTGGCTCGTGGTTTGAAACAAATATTCGTGTCGGTTGCTAAAGATTGTCGGTGAATAGAAAAATTATGATTGACAGTTTTTTTACTCTGCTGTTGTGATAACAATGATTGACATGAACGGCGGCAGGATTCTATTGAATGAATTAAAAAATATAAATAATAAGTATTATAAATTCTGTTGAGATGCTTACCACCGTTTAATTCTTCTGTTAATGGTTAATGGTGTATTATTTTAAGTAAATGGTGTAGGGACCCGAGAGACGCCGCATTATTACACCGGAAAAAATTTTGTAGGACCGGAACTTCGGATTGCTAGAGATTTTATCTACATACACACGCACGCATACGTTTTTTAACATGATAATATAATTATTGCGGGTTTTTCTGGCGCAAGTGACATTCCCACCATACAAAAATGAAATAAAAATTATTCCATTAATTTTATAAATTCCATCAGGGTATCATTTTTTTTACTCAAGAATTTTTAATTAAAAACTATGAATTAAATTTATTGAATTAAAAGTTAATAAATTTATTTTTAACAAGAATTATTCTTTAATGTCAAAGTTAAATTTTTTTGAAATAAAAATTGTGAATAATCTGATTCAATTTTTGTTTTATTGAATTTTTTGCAATCATAATTTAATTTAAATAAAATTTTAGTTAGAAAATTATGATCCGAATCTATAATATATCTTTTATTGATTGTTAAAGCCTTGGGCTAGCAAATTTCTTTAAATTCATGACTGGCAACATTTCGTCAAACTAAAGTTCAACCTAGCGAAATTCAAACTTACCTCAGCTATTTTTTTGTTTGAGTATTATTAGATTGAACTGAAAAGGACAAATGTGGGTACTATTTCCAGTTTTTTCTCTTTAAAAATTTCTATTTCTATTTATTAAAATCTTTTGTGTATTAAATATTAACTTAAATTCTAAGTAAAAGTAATTTTTTACTAAATTTTGAGATTATTATAAAGTTTAAAAATTTTTTTGTAATTACTGCCATCGATTTAAACCAATCTTTAATTACTATAAATTAAATTACAATTAAATAAATCCTATAAATTTAATTTAAAAAAAATCTTGTAATAAAAATGAATTAAAAAATTTTTTTCTCCCCTCCGTGCGGAAAGCGTCAATTTTCTGCTTGCCGCGCTAAACGAAAATGCCGCTTTCCGCCTCCGTCGAGGAGAAAAATAGTATTCTCACCACGGGCAGGAAATAAGAAAGCCTCAGATCACATGTTTGTCGACCTCGGCTTCGCCTCGGTCAACAATTACATGTAATCTGAGACATTTCTTATTTTCCTGCCCCAGGTAAGAAAAATACTAATTATCAAATAACAGTATTTGCATTGTAGAAATTACTGTAAATTATTTACATTTAAATATTACAACCTTATAAAATATTCTCTTTGGTGTTAATCGTTAAAAGCACTTATAAATCTAAAATAAACAAGAAATTATGATATATATGATTAAATTTTTTTCGAGAAGATATCTCTGATATATTTTTTCCTATCGACTGGAACGAGAGCCAACGGCGTGCATCCATGTTGATTAATAATATTTGTTAATCCGCCAGCTTTGATTAAATTACTGCATACATCCATTTGCTTGTCTAATTGAATGTTATTGGAAGCAGCTGCGGCCATGTGTAGAGCGGTGTTGTTATTGCGATTTTGGATATTGACTGCTTCTCGCCCATTCTTCATTAACAGAACCTATCGCCAATAATTAGTTTAGATTAATAACCGTAATTGTAATTTATATAATTAAAAAAATTTTCTCTCTTATGGATTAAATTTTTTCTGTATTCAAATAAAATAGAAAATTTATCTAAAAAAATAAAAGCCATTTTTTTCCAACTTTTAAAGGAAAAAAAACTATTGAAATCTTTGTAAAAATAAGCAGAATAAAAAAAATCAAACTTTTTTTTTATTTTATACCTTTACAAGCGCTGGATCACATGATACAGACACAGCTAAATGTAACGCAGTATTTCCACACGTGCTTTCTTTTATTTTCGGATCTGCGCCATTTGCCAACAACAGTCGAATAACATTGACAGAATTAATCTCCGATCCTTGAGGATCATGTACTTTTGCTGCTACATGCAGCGGAGTTCGCCCTTTTAACAATAATAATCATTATTAATACTTATAAAATGAATTAACAGAAAATCAACAATTCTATTGAAAATATTTACGGAAAAAATTAAGCATACCTTTTATCACCTTATTGATTAAAATAATATTTATGTTTTGACTAAACTGATGACTGTTTTGAGAATCCTAACAATGAAAACAAATAGTTTTATATAATTAATTATTGTACGTCTGTCTGTCAGTTAAAATTGTCTTTTTGCGGCAAGCAAATAAATAACTTATTTTTTTTTTAAGTAAATAAATATTAAATGACATCTATCAACATAATTAATAATTGTAATTTTTTTATTATGAGTTCTTTGACCTTAAAAAATATTTTTAATAACTTATAATTATTTATTTAGCTTTATTCAAAAACTGAAAATATAAAAATAAATTTTATTTGAATTTTGATGATATTTTAATGACCCAAAGTCTGATTATTTATTATATAAGTTTAATAAAAAATTTTAATTGATAATTTTTATTTAATACTTTTGAAAATAAACACAAAATAAATGTTAAAAATTATTTAATACATACAAACTTAGTTTGCAATCGTTTAATAATAAGAAACATTATTTCTCATCACAGATATTTATATCGTAAGGTGATAAAAAGTATTGTGAAAATTTTTTCTTTATTTTTGAGATACTTCGTTTAAATATCAAGGAAAAAAATTACTGAGAAATTTTTTTAGAAAAAAATTTAACGAACCAATAAGAAGTTTAGTTAACTAATTAATCAAACATTAATTCATTTTTTTTTCCTAAAATATCTTTGTATGTTAATTTTTTCAGAGATATTCTGACCTTTAGTAAAAAAGTATTATTTTATTAATTATCGATCACAATAAATTTCCTAGTAATTTTTTTAAGACTTCTAAGAAAGAAAATCAATTTTTATTTTTAAAAATAATTAAAATTGTTCGTTAAAAAAAAAATTATTCTATTACTTGATTTTCAAACTAAGTGTCCCAATAAAATAAATTCAAATAATAAATTAAAAAATTATGTACTTTAATTTAAAAATAAATTTATAAAAAAATACATTATTTAAATAATTTACCAGCATAATTAGACTTGGATAAATCAAAAACTGAATTCCCCTGGCTTGTTTTCAATGTCAACAATTCTTGAAGAATTGGCAAGTGTTTATCGCCATGTGCGACAACTGCGTGGATTAAAGTATCGCCCTGAGAAATCGTATTAACAATTATCATCTTTACTTTCATAAAACAACAAATTAAAAATTCAAATTAACAAAACACAGACGTACCCTTCTTCGATACAACTGCTGGCTTATATCAATGCCCGCTTGCATCATAACAGCAGCCAAATAACCGGTAACTTCGGGCATTTGCGGACAATTAACCGCCGCCAAATACAATACATCTTCTTCTCGGTTATTTTTCAGCGACAGACCGTTGTCCAAAGTCCTGATTCTTTCTACCAGTGGCATTAAGTAAGCTTTGCATTTCTCCAATTCATGAGGATTTCCCACCAGACACATCAATAACCTTTTATTCAAATTATTCCGATTAAAAATATAAAATAATTAAATTCATTGAACTGTATAATTATCATCGATTACTCACGTATCTCCGTCCTTATCTTGCGCAGAGAGGTACTCGGTTGATTTTTTTAAAAGATGCCTCATTGCTTTTTCAACGTCCCTCGGGTCTAATTGATCTTTCAATTTTTTAGTTGCTGCCGTCTGGGGAAGATTTAACGACGGCCATGGGGCTATATTTCGTAGAGAATTCCTTTTAAAAAGAACAAATTTTACATACTTTAGATAGTTTATGCTTTTTTAGTAGCTCCTTATTTTATTTTTAATTGACGCTTAATATTTCACTGATTATTATATAAATTTTGGGTGTTAATTTTTTTTTTTTGCATTGCAAGCAAAAAAATTGATTTTTAATTTTGCAGAAAAATTTAAAGCTTTAATTTAAAATTGATTTAAAAACTTTAAAATTGAATTATAAATCAAATTAATGTCTTGTAATTTATCTACAATTAACTTATTATTCAAATTATTTGTAAATTTATTCTTGTAGTGTACAGAATATAATTTATTATTATTTTATTCTCTACATAATATTATATAAAATTGAAAATTGTATTCAAGTTTTATTTAATTAATTTACGCATCACAAAAGTGCTTAAAGCATGCGCATTTAGATTTAAAAAGCTTTTTGTATTTTTATTTATTGTAATTTTCGAGGAAGTCGCAATAAAGTCGTGGAAAAGTCCAAAAAAAAAAAAAAATCAAAAATGAATTTTGAATGATTGATTCAATGAACTAAATAATTATAATAATATTAAGAACCCAAAAAAAAATTAATTTGATACAAGAGAAAAATTCTCGAATCAAAAATATAATTTTGAAGAGTTTCATTGTCTTAATTTGAGTATAAAAATTTTAAAACTAAAAACTTTTCCTTGATTTGGGTAAATTTTACTTAATTCCAAAATTCTTCGTCTTGATTCAAGACAATAGTTAATTTTTTCAGTGCACAAATTCAAATTAATGTTAATTTACCTTCGGTAGCGATTGTGCCTAAACGAAGAAACAGTTTCGGGGATTTGAAAGTCATTGAACGGTATATTTTGTTGGGAATTCCATGAATTATTGAAGCCCGGTTCACTAACAGACGGCGAGGATTGGTTCTCTGTTCCATACATCGATGAAAAGTCATTATATTCCGGGGAGTAATTATTAACCGAGCCAAATGTTGAAAGCGACTCATTAGAATAATGTTTATTATTATGAATATTATTTTCCCCAAAACTCGACAGCAAATGTCTCTCCAATTCGTCCTCAAAATTCATTTTCTCTTCTGTGTTCATCAAATTTTCCTGATAAATATTCTGCGTTATATTGTAGCTGGTTACCGCGTGAGATTTGTTAAAATCAGCATTCAGATCATTCTGAGCTGACGCAATAAGTGAGGCAGTGTTTCCAAGATTAATTCCCCCGTTATTAGCCGCGGAGCAGAGATCATTTTTGTTTTCATTGAAATCATAGCGCCTTTTTTGATCCAGCGGCGGCGATACCGCTTTTGAGTCGGGAGGTGTAACGACATTAAGTACTCCAAATGTGTCAATATCATCGGGATTATCAGTGCTATTTATTATCGTGCTAGATGACTCACAGTTACCGTACCAAGGGGAAAAGTCAGCAAATTCAAATTCTAATTGATCTTCAACTCTCAGGTCCAGCGAATGTTGGTAATTCGAGGGACTTGATGTGTCTCCAAAGGAATGATTCGATGAAGATGACGAGGAAAAGGATGTTGGTACTCGCCAATTGTTTAATCTCTGAAAAAAATACCTACATATTGTAATAATTATTTTTATTTTAATCTATAAGACATTTGTCATTATTTGCATTCGATTTAATTGTACAGATAGCTCAAAGCTATGACTCTTATCAACCAGAGACAGTATACTCCCACTAATCATCACTATCGCTGTAGTTTGACAGTAATTTGTTGAAATTATTGCGTAATTTTGACGTTAATTAATATGACCGGATATCAGAATATAGTTATTTATTTCGAATAAAAAAATTGTTAATGACCAAATTATTTCGTTTTAAATTAATTGAACTTTTTAACATATTCAACAAAAATGGTTGTATTGCTGATTATTAAATAATATTAATTAAACAATTTTTTCAATAGATTTGCCGGAAAAAATCAAATGTGTAAATTTATCAATTCTTTAAGGTAAAAAAAAAATTGTACTTCAATAATATGTAATCACTATAAAGTTTTGAAAGCATAATTCTCAAATTAACCAAGATGGCAAGTGGATCTATAATAAATTGAAATAAAATTTGGTTTGAAACGTTTTTTTTTAATTTTTTACGTATAACGTCAATTAATTCTTCAAGATAATATAAAAATCCGGTATTAGTATAAATGACAATAAGCTAAATGATTTTTACGAGTGGACTTTCGACTTTCTTAAGGTTAAATTATACTATAATGATCAAGCTTATATTCTAATACGATAATCCTTATAAAAAATTGTCACTTTTTTTATAAAAACAGTAAAAAAATGAAACTAAAGGAATAATATACTTGAAATGAATATTTTAATTCTGATTTTTGTGTCATTGGACGTATGATAACGATTCTAGTCTAAGTACTTAAATGCAATTCTATGCTATCTCTAGCTGAAATAAACCGCCGAGATTCTAAACTAATCTCTACTATCTGACTATTTTAAAACAATTCATTGCATAATTCAAATGTTATTACAATTATTCAAATTAGAGGAAAATTCAATATAAAATACTAAGTAATCAAATTCACTGATGGAATAATTTTTTAATTGTTAATAAATCATAAGCAAAACAAAGTCGTTGCTATAAATGATCACAACTTACATTAGAAAAATCCGGAGGACTTTCACTGGTAAAATGATTAGGTATTGAAGGAGAGCCAATATTAGCAGAGGAACCAGGTGACTGGGCCCGACTAGAAGCTCGACTGTGTGATCTAGAAGACATAACATTGTAACTGTTAGCACTGGTAGGTGAATCCGGCCAATTCTCACTAAAAACCGGCGACGGATTAGTGTAACTCGAAACATCCGATTGCGCTGATTGAAAGCCCTGGAGATTCAACTTTTCAATGAGCGATTCTTCACTGGTCAGTGAATTTTCGTTGATGATAATCGCGGGAATCTGTTGCTTTTTCTAAAAACATATCAAAACTCCAAATTATCCCCTGAATCTAAAGAAGCGACTAAATAATGCAATAAAATCACTTTAGCTTACTTCACAGGAATTATCACCAGCATTTGTCTCGTCACAATCATAATTATTCAAGATCCACTCGCTGTCACTTACATTCGACGAATAATTATTCGTCCCCTCCAGCTTGTCCAGACAGGGAATCAAGAGATCACTGTAATTACTGATACTCATTATTTGCTGAGCTGTTGACTCAATATCTAAGGAGTAACTTTGTTGCATGTTAGTTACGGAATCAGAACTACCGCTGAATTGACAGTAAGGTTTTCTTCTAGGTTGATTAGATAGGGGTCTAACTGGTCCCCTAACTCTAAGGTCTTCATCATTTTCCTCATTTTTTTTATTCACATTTAACTTTTTCTCCTCTCTAGTTGAATTACTTGCTACAATTATGCAATTTTTAATTGTAAAAGTTGTATTTATTTTACTTATTTTTTCATCAAAATTATTGTTATTATTTAAATTTTTATTATTATTAATAGCGCACAATTTTTTATCGTCATCAATATTATCCGAGGTAAATTTAAGCTCAACTATTTTTTCAATAATGTCATTAAACTTATTACCAGAAATGAAAGTTTCATTTGCATTGATCGCTGATCTGTCTTCAGTGTCACTTAAATGCAACTTTATTTTATCACTATTGATAGTTATTTCACGGTCTTGCGGTAAAAGTTTTAATTTTACATATAAAGGCGCGTTATCACTGTCGACGGTATCAGAAGCCACTGATTGTTCAGAAGAAATACTAGATTCTGAGCTCGAGTGATGTGAAAGTTTTGATGAATTTATTTTTAGCGATGAATTCATTGATGGACTGAAAGAATGGATATATTTATATTTTTAATTTGGTATTAACATTGATAAATATTTATTTATTGATAGTCCGGATTGTTTTGTTTTATTTTTAGTTTGAAAAAAAAATTTATTGATGTTTATTGAAGCTTAAAACAAAAATCCTGATTTTGTATTGAAAATAATAATATTGTAAAAATTTTTTAGTTAATGTTTATAGTTTACAATTTTTGAGAAAAATATTTTTAATAAAAATTATTAGTCGATATAAATCAAAAAATATTTTTTCTTATTAAAAATTCTCCGGAAAATAAAAATGTTGAACAAAAAAATAGTTTTAAAATTTTCTAATTATTAAATTGTGAAAAAAATTAATTTTCAAAGAAAATATATTTATTAAAATTTAAAAATTTTATTTTCAAAGATTATAATAAATATAGCGGCTAAAACCCAGACCAAATTACAAATTAATCTTTTAATAGACTTACACAGTAAAAAATTTTGTGTTAAAAATTTTAACAAAAAAATTTTTAACTAAAATTTTTACTTCTAAATTAAAAAAAAAATTACATACCTATTAGGCTGATAATTATTTTCAACATCACTCGAACAATTCCAGTGACAATCTTCGACTTCTTGTCGCATCCTAAATATTTAAAACCATTATAAAAATTATTAATTTAAAATAAAATTTACACACGTGAATTTTATGTTAAAAACAAATATATAAAATCACTGTTTAATGCATTACTTCTTATTTTAAAATTCTCATATAAAAAGTTTAAATTAAATTCTTGATAAAGTGATACGACTGCAGTATTACTTTTTTATGCTAATTTTCCTACTTAGTTACAAATAAATTGTTTATCGATTAAACTTATCATATCTAGTGATAATTAGTCATGTCAATTATTTACCAACAATATACAATAATACTTATTTTATCATAATTATCATTTTAATGTTATTTCAAACAAACAAAAGATTACATATGCATGCGCGTTTGATTACTCTAAAAATATTTTCTATGTTACACTAATAACTAGATAAAAAATAAATAATAAGTTTATTTAGATAAATAAATGAAAATTACCATTAAAATAGATAAAAAACAAATAATTTTATTGTTAAAAAAATGAATATAATTTAAATATAAACTCAAAATATTTTTTTTTCAATGTGTTTTTATTAAATCGAAGATTTAACTGATGCGAAAAAAATATTTATTTATGATAAGAAAAGTAAACCGAATTTAACAAATTTAATAACAAATAAATAATGTTAATAAAATATTACCTTATATATTTATCATTGATATCCAGATAATGTAATTAATGAAATTAATAAAAAATATATACGTTGTTTTTTTTAATTATTAAAAACAGATGAGTCAAATTTTTGTTTATTTAAATTAACACACATTTTTTTTTTTTATTTAAGTTAATATAAATCGGAAATAAATATTTCGGGCGCAAGATTTTTTAATAAAAATTTAACGATAGAGCATAATTTATTTAAAAACAATATTTTATTATTATTATTATTATTATTATTATAGAAATTAATGAGATTAATGGTTACACTTTGTACACGTGAGATCCCGCAAATGTTGTTAACTTAACTATAGATCGCGTTCAACTGTCTAACTCGCGGACTTCAGATTGCGTCACGGACAATCTGAATTATTATTATTTTTAATTTGCATTTACAGCGTTGTGATATCGCTTTATATTTATCATTTAACTTTAGATCTTTTTTATCTTTCAAGCTCAGTGTGGCAACCTTGCTTTTAAACTTATTTTTCTTCTTTAAAATAAAATAAAATATTTTTTTGAATTGTTATCAAGTCGATTTTTATCTAAAAAAACTTTTAAAATAAATACGCAAATATTTAATTTTAATTTGCATAAGATAAAAAAATGTTTCATAAACAATAAATTGTTTATTATAATGCCAAAGATTTTTTAAATTAATAATCAATAATTAAATGTTATAAAAAAATTATATTAAATATCGAGAGTGGTAGTAGATCTACTGCGCATGCGCAGACTTATTAAGCCGCGATGACGTAAACGTTGTTTAATAAAAAGTCGAAACAGGTTTATTGAAATTTTAAATAAAATGTTTACAAATTTTAATGTAAATATTGTAAAAAAATACTTTTTTACGTACCACAAAACCTTGTAGTTAAATTTCAGACATTAGGAAGTGACAATCTCTGGCTTAATCTCAGCTTCCGATTTATAAGTATTAATTACCGACAGTCGTGGTTTTCCGCAAATCCTCATCCTTTTTTTCTATTTATTCGCACAATATGTTTGTTATCTAGATTAATTATTAAAATAATTGTGTATATAATTTTTATACTGCAAAATTAGTAATTTTAATCATAGATTTGTTCGTATGTTTGTAAACAAACTGAAGTATCATAACAAAACTCATCACCTGTATCTAGCGATTAAAAAATGTGGGGATAATTATCGTGAAGTTATTTCTAGTCGGCAATTACTTCGTCGAATCATTTATTATGAATCACTTATTGTTGAGCGTCATTATATTAGAAATAATGAGTTTTTTTTTTTATTAAAAAAAAATATTTATTTTTTGATTTATGATAGTACTCTTGACAGTAATTCAATACATCTGATTTATCTTGAAAATTTTATTTTTTATCTAATCACTCTAGAAATTTTAAAAATTTACCGAAAATATCCTAATTCATTTTAGATTTAACAGCCGGTCTCTAAGATTGCAGCTTTATATTTTTCAAAGACAAAAAAAAATTGCTACGTAATTGATTTTTTATTTATATAAATTTGTTAGAAATTATAAGAAAGTATTTTTAAATTAAATTTATTTTATTGATTTAATAAAAATGAATGCTTTGTATTTTTTTAAGTAAATAATTTTATAAAATAAAAAAAAATTGTTAAGAGTAAAATTCTTCTGAATTTTAATTCTAAAATGTCTTTTTTTTTGTATATCATAACAAAAATTTTAATCTTTATAAGTTTTGTATTAAAAAAAATTTATGAAAAACTTACAGAATAAATGAAAAAAAAAAATTTTAATTATTAAGCAGTATAACTTACCTTATTGACGTCAAAGTTACTGGTTACATTCTTAGAAATAAAAATAGCAAGCGGTGATACCCCAGGATTTAATAATAAAACTCGCAATTGAACAGGATTATTACTTTATTACTAATTGATGAAATACACTTGTGTGTCAGTAAAGTTCGCCGATACCTGCGGTTTTTAGCAGAATGTCACTGTACAGCACACACGTTATTACGTTACTAGTAAATAATTAGTTTGTATATAGATACTATACGTGACCTAGAACAACGTATTTATTTCAAATTATTTAATTACCTTTTTATCGCATGATTATTTTTTACCTGGATAACTTTCAATTTTAATAATTTATTTTAAATATTATCTTTTAAATTTTTACGTGATTTCAATTTTTTACAATATTATATTCTTTTATTATTAATTAATATAAATACAATGAAAATGAATTTGATAAAAACCTTAAATTCAAAGATTAAAGTTAAAAATGTTAAACTTCGAAATTTATAAAACATTCTTAATTAATAAAATTATCAAAACAATACTTCTATAGTAAACAAATTTTCCTAACAAAATAAGCTTATAAATTTTTTCAATACAATCAAACATCGAAAAGTTCAGACACCACAAGCTGAATTAATTATTTTATTTTTTGAAAATACTCTATCTATAGATACATAATTAAGAAATGAGCTTGTATCTCGTGAACTATTGATATTTTTAAAGATATAAGCTTATCCCGATGTTACATTCATCGAGACCTTTCATTTGAATACCTACATCAATTTTTCATATATTTATATATATTATATATATGTATAGATAAAAAATATATCAAAAGTGCATGTGGGTACTCAAACGAAAGCTCTTGTTGAGTATAACATCATGATAATAATAATAATAATAATAATAGTTTCTTTATTTAGCTTTAAGCTACAAAAATATATACAATATAAAAATTATAAAAGATCTTTGATCTTTTATCACAGATCAACACTTGATTTCTGTCTACATTTTTTTTTTAATTTTTCCTTCTCTTAACAATTTTTTAAAAATTACTAAATTTCTTGCATTTTTTGTGTCTATATTTAACTTGTTAAATAATGAAAAACCATACATATTTATTTTTTTTTTTGAGCACTCACAGTTCTTGTTCTTTGTACCAATAATCTATTTTTGTATCTTGTACTATAATTATGTTCATTCTCAACAACAATTCTATTTAAATATTCTGGTAACAAGTTATTTTTCATTATGAGCTTATATCCTTAAAAACGTCAATATTTAAGAAAGTACAGTATAATTTAATAAAAGTCATTATTAATTAAAGCAAAATTTTATTTATTTATAGTTCATATAAAATAAAAACAGAGAATATTAAATAAAAACAGAGTTCATAACATAAGAATAAAAATCAAATGCATAAAGTATCCAGATGAAAAATAAGAGCAGCAATCCTTTGAATATCTTGTCAATCCATATCATTCTGAAAAAGAAAAAAGAAAATTAATAAAACTAAAAATGCTATTTATTATAAACTAGTCATCGGACGATAAATTATATTAGTATTGAGAAGAATCTTCCACATTAACTGATAAAAATGATTACAATTTTTCATGTCTATCAGACACTCCGTCTTGATTGATTATCTCGATGAGAACTTCCTTATTTATACTTAGAATATAATGCAAATATTGCGAATTTTTTAATCGAATGACTTCTTGGGTGTCATAAAATTTCTCGGTACAATATTAAATAACTTTAAATCAATTTCTTAATACTGCAAAAGTTTATTTTATAAGAAAAAAATTTTTTTCACTTAAAACGAAGTAGTAAAATTAGTAATTAACGATTGTCTTAATAGCAGGATGCCGCAATTAACTAATTAATGACTTGAGTTTGTGTATTGACGCATTTAACGATCATTATTATGATAAGCAGTTATATTATAACGCAAGGTCAGTAATAAGTAAGTTATTGCATATCTAGAATAATATATTTTTAAATACATTATTTCGATAGTAATATCGTTTGGAAAGAAATGTGAACTAATAATGACAATAAAAGAGACTGCATACATAAACAAGAAATGGAAAATTATGTAAGCTAGATATTATGCAGGGGATTCCCGAAGAGAGACAGATAAAATGACAATCCATAGAAGATAAATGATGTTTTTTTTTTTGCATTTGCTTTTTTACTTATTAGGCATTTTTTTGTAAAAATAATAAAGTGAAATTTTAACTTTCATAAAAATTTTTTTGCATTTTTAAAAATTCTTTTTTCTACTTTAATAATTATTAGAAGTAATAATGCGTAATAATTAATTTAAGTAATAATTATTAGAAGTATTAATGTGTAATAATTAATTTAAGTAATAATTATCAGAAGTAACAATGTATAATAATTAATTTAAGTAATAATGTATAATAATTAATTTAAGTAATAATTATTAGAAGTAATAATTAATGTAAGTACTAATTAATTTAAATAAATGATCAATTTAAATAAATAAATAATTCGATAAAAAATTTAATTGACAATTATTAAAATAATAATTATTAAAAATTCAAGGATTGCAATAAATATTTATTTTTTATTAAAGTATTCTTTATTTTTTTTGTCTAATTAATTTCTAATTTATTAAAAATAATTTTTGTCTAATTATTATAAAATTTTATTTTGAATTAATTTAATTAATTAGTTAGAAAAAAATTTTGTCAATTTCTCTCATCAATCATCATATTATTAACATAAATCTGTGTCATCAAAAAATTTCCCACTTAAACTGGGTATTTCCATAATTATAAATAACGATCATAAAAAAGGTCCAATTGTAATAAGTAATAAATAATAAGAATAAACATCAATCTTATGACCGATAGTTATTTTATAAATTATAATTTTTTTTTCCATTATTATTATTCTATTTCTGTGCGGGATTTCCCGAGCGGCAAGTTGCAAGTTGCGAGGCCATCATCTCTAATTTATAATCAAATGTATCGCGTTTTATGCATCCGACACGTAGACAAAAAAAAAAAAAAACCATTATTATGCATACGCAAAAAGGAACTTTCATTATAAAAAAAACGTATGTTTGTAAAGAAACTTTTTTCTTATGCAAAAGTGCAGTGACCTCAAAAATTACTATGAGTATTTGACCCAGTTTCGTTTGTTGACGGCACGACCGCGATCGATCAAACATGTTATCAAAACGCCAAGGGACAAAATTCTATTGTCAACCCTTTGGTCTTCTTAGTCACAGACAGATCTCTCATTAAGAATAATCTCGAGTTTTTATATTTTTATAATAACAATCTTTAATGTTTTTTGAATTTTCCATCGCATCTTGATACTCAACCAGTCTCATATTTGAAATGTAAGTTACAAGTCACTGATTCACATCTCAAGTCTTGCTTTTCTTATTCACTGCACGTAAATATTTATATATTTTATGAAACGCTGGGATTTCCCTTTCAATGCAGTGCTTATCATATAAATGTATTTTTTTCATCAAGTTTTTTTCGTTGAATTAGAAATAAATAAATTTTTAAGGTCAATGACTTTGATGGATTATTGCATCATAAATAATGTGATTAATTTTGTTATAAAATATTAAATCTTCTCAATTTATAAATTATTATAATAATTTTTTTTTATACCAATAAAATTATTTTTGGTCTGAAAATTTATATAAAATAATATTTTAAATTTTAATTATTATTATTTAATATTAAAATTTTAATTATACATTAGTCCAAAAATTCTAAATTAAATGATACTAAAATTACATTTTTAATTTTTTGATTTTGTTTTAATAATTAAATTAGAACAAAAAAACATGTTTAAAAAATTGCACTTATAGTTTTTAATGTTTTTTACAAATGAAAATTTTTTTTGTAGTAATTTTTTCAATAAAAAAAAGTTAAAAAATTATTAAATGTCGGCTAACTTAATTTTCATATAAATTAATGCCAATTCAGTTGTAAATTATTAAGTAAAATTTTTCTCCGACAGATGTCACGACTCAATTGATCGGTTCTCGATAATCATGAGGCGCGTCGTAATAATCATAATTATAGTATAAAAGTTTTCTACGTTATCGATAGTTAATTAATCAAATTTATTTTTTAACGAGTCAAAGAACTTTGTGAAGGTAAAAAAAATGAACCTTGAACCATTTCAGTGTCTTCTATGGATCGCGACGTGCATGCAAATGGATGAATATAAAGTAAATCCGGAAAATAACGTTTAGTATTCTTTAAATTCACCACAAAAAATTTATATTAAATTTACCTGGTTAAGTGTCTCTTTGCAACTGAAGAGTCGGTAGGCTTTTCATTGAGAAGATATTTTTTTGCACCAATCAAACAATTTCTAAAAGGTTTGACAAAATAGTAAAATTTAATAAAAAATAATTATTTGAATTTATAAATACTTACTCAAAGTAATATGACACGTCGATAGAAGCAAAGTCGAATAGGAAATTTTTAGAATCGGCTTCTGAGACTTCTGATAATAATCCAAATAAATTAGCATTTTTGAATTCCCATTCGTGAGTCAAAAAATACGACAGAGCGGTGTTAGCAATGTAAACTCGTCTTTGTAATTTAACCAGCCTGATTAAAAAATAATTGAACAATAGATATAAAACTAATAATTTAATTATTAAATAAATTATTGAATTAATTATTAAATTAATTATTAATTTAATTATTAAACATTGTAATATTTAGATAAAATTTTGATGCACTTACATTGGCTTGTGTCCACTTAAATAGAGAATAAAGTCAAGAACTAGCCCTGGCAGAAGATGAAACAATAATACAGATGCAAAGTAGTATAAATTATTAGTAGTGTAGGTAATAGATGGCGCCCAAATTATTCCTTCAAGTGGATTCTTCGACGCACAAATCAAAGCCATGCGTTTTATTTCTTCAACTGATACATTTTTCATATCTGCTGAAGAACAGTTGTACACGTGGACTGATGGATCCTTTGTTATGCTATAAAATCAAATTGTAATTGTCAATACTCAAAACTAGAATATTTTTCCTAGTAAATTTCAATTGCACACCTCAAATGTCATCAATAATAATATCAATAGTTTGGCTAGAGTAATCATTTAAATAAATATCAAAATCATATTTTATGAACGTTTATAGAACGAATTCATCCACTATTAGTTGCGGACTAATTTTCCAAAAAATCAGCAAATCAAAGTAATTTAATATTGAAATGTGCAATTAGAAATTAATGTATTAACAATAAGACAAAAGTACGTTCTAATTCCTCGTTTCCAACTGGCAATTATCATAGCTTTAATAGCAACATCTACTGGAATGAAATCAGCTCTCAATTGAGGATCACCGTAAACAGTCCTCAAAACTCCTTTGCCCCCTCCAACCATCAGTCCTGTTGGACCATTGAAGTTATCGACCCAGCCCGGCATTGGTTCATCCATCGTCGCAATCACTGACAAAAAAAGAACAAAATTTTGAAATAAACCAACTTAATAAACAATCCTTAATCAAAAGAATTACCGATTGAAGGTCGAAAAACGACAGCTGGAATCACGTGCGAGTAATCACTAACTACCTGCTCGGCCATTCGCTTTGTAAAAGTATACGTATTGGGAAAGCTCCCCAGATATCTAGAACAAATAAATACATCAATATAACCACAATTTTTTTCAAAATTTGTTAATTTAATTACTTAGGTGTAAAAGTTTTGAGCAGCTCTTCATTTATAGTCTCCACTATTTTGATAGTCTTCTTCCAATCGACCTCACAAGGGTACAGCTTTTCTTCGACCACCGGTTTGTCAGCTTGATTGTAAGTTGTACTGACGTGCATGAAAATCTTGCAGATATTAAAGAAGATCATAATTAAACATAATCATTGAAAAAATAATTTTAATAAGTTAATTTAGAATAAATAAATAGAAATTCATTTTATTTACAATTCAATTTTAAAGTTAATTCCAATTTATTCCGCGAATTGTATTTATTTTAATACAAGTTGAACGTCCTTTTACGTCTCAAGTGATTAATTCATGAAAAGAATCAATTTATAGAAAGAAAAAAAAAATAATTAAGAAGTAAAAACATAAGAGCGTAATAATTAATTTTAGGTAAAGAAATTCTATTAAATAGTGGTGATATTATTTAGTTATCTAAAATGGAGTTTTCTCTGGATAGAAAACTTCCTAATGTTTGTCATTATGAGGCGTGCAATAAGTATATGTATACTTTTTAACTTACAACAAGTTTCTTCATTTGCGCTGCCAGAATACACATGTCTCTAGTAGATCTGGTATTCGTGAAAACAGCAGTTTTCAGCGGATCATCAAACCTAACACTAGCGGCGACATGAAAGACAACAGACACCCTTTCGATCAGAACTTTGCGTTCAAAATCGGGAATTCCTAAGCCTTCTTTGATAGTATCGCCTTCAATTGGAATAACTTTGTCCAGCACAGAAGGATTTTCTTTTTTCAATCTGTCAAAAAGCTAAATCACGAAACTTTGAATACACAAAACCCAATAGGAAATTAAAAAACATTTTTGGACTTACCGGCAGAGTCAATAATTGGCGGACTCGGTTGTCAATTGATAGTCCCTTCTTAGGTCTCATTAAAACAAATATTTCACGGACATCTGGGCAAGATCTTAATAATTTTTCAACAAGAACTTTTCCCATAAATCCAGTAGCGCCTGTTATTAAAACACTCCTTCCGTCATAAAATTTTGGGATTGATTTTGTTTGATCCATTTTTACTATCTATTTTTTTTATTTTTTTTTAATAATAATACTGCCTGATTCAAAAAATGAGTTTTTGAAAATAAATTGATTTTTTAGTCGAGATTAAAATGATGTGAAGTATTTTTGATTCACTTGTTATTTGTGAAAACTTACACTGATTTTGAGGAAAAAACTTAAAAAAATCAATCCATCGAGCCTCACGACTAACTAAAACACTGAATGAAGTTAGATTGTTCACTGAAGTAACAGCACCGATTATTACTTACCGGAAGTGATATGAAATAAATTTGAATATACTGAATATGAGATCAGAGTTCACCGAGGATTAACAATAAATCTTAATAGTAATACAATATGTGACTAACAATACATGTTCAGTGCGAATCTTTTGTGCTGTTTTTTTTTTTATTTTTGTTTATTTTATTATAATATTACTAAACTTCCTTGTTTTAATGAAGTTGCCAATATATTAATAATGAAAATCTGTACATAAAATTATTAACTTAACAAATTGTGTTTTGAAATTCGACAAAATAATAGAAAATGCAGTAATTAATTGGAAAATTTATTAAAAAATTTTTTAATAATGTTAAGAAGTATATTTTGAACAAACTAACCGATTTTTATGGATTCAGGGACTTATTCCAATATGTTTAGCTCAAAAATGATAACATTGAAGAAATAGTCTCGTCAAAAAAATGTAAAATTTTCTCTAACTGTGGAAATAAATCATTAAAAAAAATTGAAATTTATAAAAAAAAAACCTCAAAATTTAAATAATCTATATCTCTTATCAATTTTTCATATATTTTATATATTTATGTATATGTATATTATATATATATATGTATATATGAAAAATATATCAAAAATACATGTGAGTATTCAAATGAAAGCTCTCGATGAGTGTAACATCGGGATGAGCTTATATCTTTGAAAATATCAATAATTAAGAACTGACATTGCTATCTTGTCAACTAATGAGATTTTTAAAGATATAAGCTCATCCTGATGTTATATTCATCGAGACCTTTCATTTGAGTGCCCACATCAATTTTTTATATATTTATTTATTTATATATATTATATATATGAATATATGAAAAATATATGAAAATGCATGTGGGTACTTAAATGAAAGCTCTTGATGAGTGTAACGTCGAGATGAGCTTATATCTTTAAAAAGGTCAATAGTTAAGAAAGTACAGTGCAATTCAACAAAATTTATTATTTAATAATGCAAAATTTTATTTATAGTTCACAAGTCCCGGCAGTCACATAGTGACTGCAAGGCTGCTAGTAAAATATTGATTATTAAATCAAAGTATCGAAGCTCTCATAATAAATTCAAGTGATTACAGACAATAATGTATTTTGTTTTTAGAGTTAACCTAGAAAAGTCAAATAAAAATTCATTAAAATTATTCAAAATATTAATGATTTGCGTTTGTAGTATAAATTGAAAGAATGTAAAAATTTTCCGATTTCCTAATTGAAGACCTATACAAGTTATAAATAAATTACCATTGATAAAAACAAATCCATGATTCATAAGATTACGTATCGTTTAAAAGTGTCTTAACCGAGAATGAAAATTAATTAAATAACGCACAACTACTATCCTCAAACGAGTCACGTGAATTTAGTTTATTATTTCGCCTTGACACTTTAAAGCTTAAATTCGATTAAATTCACGCTTGGAACTAATCCTCAGTACATATATTCCCGGATTCACTAATTAAAAGTTGTTTGGAACTGACATCACGTGAATTTGATTTTTTTTCTCAACTCTGTTGTACAAAGAGAGATAATTATTAAAATGGAAAATTTTAATATTCATAAAAATATCAAAAAAAACAATAAAAAGGAGGATGAAGAAGCAAGAGACATTAATATTTCAAATTCATCGATTTCTTACGAAGAATACGAAGAAGATTTTATCAAAAAATCCGCTAGGGCTCCTCGTATTAGTAAAAAATTTTCAAAAATTGTATTTGTATTTTAAAATTTATTTTTGGGTTCATTGATTTATTTATAATAATTTATAATCATTGAATTTTTGTTCTAGGAGCGGGATTGGATGAACCATGAGGTAACTTATTAAAAATAAAATATGATTTAAATACAAATCTAAATTGAAATATCTAAATAATATAATAGCCGGCGAAAAGGAAAAGTATAAAGAAAAAGGGAAAAAAGAAGAAAAAAAAATCAATGAAAGAGCAAGAAAAATCACGCGCTGCAGCAACTGCAGAAACAGAAAAGCAAAAGTAAGCGAAATATTTTATTTACTTATTCAATTATCGTATAAGTAATTGTGTAAATTTAAAACGTAAAACAGTAAAAAGGAATGAATCAAAAAGAAACTTGAAATTAGTTTTGAATAATAAATAATATATTTTTGTAAAAGTTTGTAATTATCTTTTCTCGAAGTTTGAACTAGAATCTAGATCACCATTTCGTGCACGTCTCTCATTCACCCTATCAGTTTTTCCCACCCTCGGCTAGAGTTCAACACCTCGAAAATAGACTACTGGAGAAAATAGACTCAATGCCTTCAGTCGGTGTTTAAATATCCTTTCGTGCTGTAATATTAAATTTATAGCTGTTTCTTGTAAACTAAACACCTAAATAACTAAAAGTCTTGATTAGTCGCTATTCAATAAGTAAAAAGTAAAAATGTACACTGATCCGCTGGCAGAAATAACGTTTTTCAAAAGTTACGCTGAATCGGCTAAAGAAAAAGTAAAACGCATTGAAGAGCGGTATGATTTGAAGATCAAAAAGAAATTTTTGTTTTTAATATTGTAATTATAATTAACGCTGATGGTTTATTGTGCCCAGGAATGTGCTGATCAAGGATATGCTCGAAGAGATACGGGTCGAGAAATTCAAATCGGAAACAGAGGCCTTGATTGATGAAGATGAAGCGAAGAAACGAAAAGTTCAGTTGGAAAAAACCTGGCATGTGATAACTAAAAATGAAAAAGCGTTTATGGATGATGCTCTGCTTAATAAACAAGAAGACAAGGTGATTGATCTTTGTTTAGACTTTAGACGACGTAATATGATTATTAATTTTGTTTGAGGATTAATTTATGGAATATTTTTTTTTTATTAACAATTTTTAGTTGATTTTGTCAAGACTCTTATGACAAAAATTTATTTTAAAAATATATAAATATTTAAAATATATTTTATATATTTAAAAAAAAATTTCTTTAATAAAAATTAAGTTAGTCGACATCTAAAACTTTTTAGAATTTTTCTTAATTGAAAAATTACGACAAACATTTAAAGAAAAATTTTAATTCGTAAAAAACTTGATAAACTATCAGTGCAATTTTTAAATAATATTTTTTAGTTCTAATTTAATAAATGAAAAAAAAAAAATAAAAAAGTCGGCTAATTTTAGTATTATTTTCTTTTAATTTAAATTTATCTTTCTTTTGCTACTCTATAAAATAAGTTAAAATGTTTTAATTAAAAATTCTTATTGATGTAATTATACTTATTATCTATATCAATCATTGAATAGAATTTTTTCTAATTAGTGTACATAATTATGACACTAAAAATTGTAAATAATTTTTATTTATTAATTTCACAAGTTTATTATCTAATTTTTAATGTTTAATTGTTTTTTTTTAAATTAAAAAAAAGGCTGTTATCTTTGACATTGAAATAAAAAACCACATCTGCATATAATTAGACTAGCTAGTATAGGTGACTTTTTAGCAGTATGATTACCTTGAAAAGCAAAACGGCCAGAAATAAAATAAATGACCAAAAGCATATTTATTTTTAGTGGATTCAATATATGACTTGTGATGGTCTACCAAATCCTGGGATTTTGTCGGAGCTGAATACGTTTTTATTTCTCTGGGATTTGCAGGACGAAGAAGCTTCAATGATAAATATTACCGACAAATGCCAAGTTGTGATTTATGTAAGAGTAATTGAAAGAACGATAAAAACTTTGTTATTTTTATGAGTTCTTTAATAGTTTTTATTTTTATTGTTGTTAGCTATTGCTGAAACTAGACAACATCATTGATTTCAGTCTGATGGAATCCCCTGAGTACATTGAGGATTGCAAGAAAGTAAGAAAGATTTTCCGCGAGAAGCTCAAGTATTGGATCGACTTGGCTACTTATCGGCTGCTCCGGCAAATCGAAAGAGACATGGTCAGGGAGGATTTGAGAAATGCAAGATTTGTCAAAGAAGCCAACGAGATGATATGCTGCATTTGGGCTTTGATAAGATTGCCGATCAGTATTAAACAATTTTCCGAACGTGATAGGTAAAATTTTTTTTTAATTATGAATTTTATAGGTAATTTATAGGCAAGAACTTAATTTAATTTAATTAGTTGCAAGAACTTAAAATTAATTTATTTATTTATAATTCTTATAAAATTAATTGATATTTTAATTTTTTCTGAAGGAAAATTTTTATTTTATAATTATTAATTGATAAAATGTTTATAAAAAAAAAATCCGTTGATGAAATTAATGAATAGATGATTAAAAATAAATATTTTGCAGAAAACCAATAGAGATAATATTCAAAGAGTTAGATTTGAGTGTTAAAATGCCACTTGACCTTGACTGTTACGCGATGTCAATACGAGGCCTTTGGATTCAATATGACCATTATTCAGACCAAGGTTCATCATTTTTTATGCCTGATATCCCACAAGAATACCGTATGAATGAAGGTATCATTAATTATAATAATAATAATAATAATAATAATAATAATGAAGTGGATGATGAATAATCAATTAAGGCCAATAAACTTCTAAAACTATTGTCGATTCTTACTCCATAAAATTTTTTAACAGATCTGTTGACCTTCTGTCAGAACGAGTATGATACAAAAGTTAAAACTCGTGAGGAGCAGGTTGAGGGTCGAAGATTAAGGCTCGAGGAAAAAAAATTAATGGTCGAACGTCTTTCGAATCCGTCACAATTCTCGGCCGCTAAAACGGAGAAAAAAGGAAAGCAAGCCAAAAAAGCATCGCCGCAAGCTGGACGGGCCAAAAAATCAGAACCTGAACCTGAACCTAAACCTCTGCCTTACCTGCCTACGCCGGAAGAAATTATTCTCCAGAAAGAAGGTTAGAGGGTGAGAAAAATAACGCGTTGTTGAATTTAATCATTTTTATTTTTTTCAGAGGAAAATAGGAAAGAATTAAGAAAATTATTATTTACTCGGTGCGAAAAAACGGAAATAAATTTACGAAAGTACAGAATACTTGGAGGGGTTCATCACATTGATTTGATTTATCAACCACCTCAGCCTAAAGATATGAGAGGAGATATATTTTTAACAACAAGTAAATATAATTATTTATTAACATAATTAGTTTCAGTAGAGTATTAATATTTACTTTTAATATTATTTATCGAAAAAAAAAAATCAAAATTATGTAATCAGGTACTTATTCATCAATGTTTAAAAATTAATAAAATTTATCAACATCTATAAAGTAAATTAAATATACCTCGATTAAATAAAATTATTTAAAAAATGTTATTAAGCTGAAATAAATTTACAGTTCAGCTTCCAAAGGAACTGAGATATGTGCCTTTTTTGCGGCCATACAAAGCACCGCCGCCTGCGCCAGACGCAGAAAGAACTCCAGAAGTGATTGAAGCTGAGATGAAAGCCCTCGAAGCTGCAATGGAAGCTTTAGTGCTCGTCACTTTCAAGTAAGACTACCAAAATAAAAATATTTACAAAACCTCTTTACATTTGTGTACAATATACTTTTTTTTTCTTAAAAATATATACATCATAGGCTTCCTGAGTCAGTTCTGTGGTTTGAACCGCCTTTAGTCGCTCACTGGATCTCTGATAAAAAAATTTGGTCAACCCAAGACGTTCATGACATAAAATACAATGAAGAAAAACAAATAATCACATTTAGAACCGGCCGATTGGGTATTCATGGTCTTGCGGCATTCAAGTTTATAAATTTGCCATTCCAAAGTTGGGAGTTAAAACCAGAAGCTGGCAAGACTGGTGGTGTTACACTCAGTATTTCTGCTGCTATTGTTCAAGTTGAATTTGTTGTAAGGGTAAGTTTGCTAATTTATAATTCAATTCAGAAAATAAATAAATTAATTAAAAAATTTAACTTTTTTAAAGGAAAACTCGGTATCTTTAAATTCTTTGATTGGCGGAACGACTACAGCTCTTCAATACCTTCTTGGAAATTACATGAATTTAAATTTACTAATTCGAGTAAGTTAATTTTTTTTTTTTTATTTTATTAGAGCTAGTATTTAATTTGCTTCTTGCTCTGTAAATTTTTTCGACGGCCCTTTTCTAATTAAAGTACTTTTCTTCGTTATGTTCAATTGATTAATTTATCCATTATTTCACAATTTTTAGTTTTTTTTTTTTTTTTTTTTAAATAAAAGCCTGAAAATTCTGCAAAAAGTTCATTCATAAAAAAATACATACCAAATTTTTCTGCCTCTTGTAGTTTTAATTCAAAAATAAAAAATTATTTTTTTTAATGGCACGTAATAAGAACATGTGCTTTTTTCGGGTTAGGATAACTTCTTGGTAGAAAACAATATTAAAATTATTTGCAGCAATTTATTATTTATATTTATTAAAAAAATCTATATTAATAATTCAAAAAAATTATTTAACTATAAAATAATTGTTTTAATATTAATAAATTCATAAACTGATAATAAATTCTTCTTTTTTTTCAAGATTCAAAGAGATAATAAAATTTTGAGTATCAGTTGCATGTATTTACAATTGATAATTTTTCTATGTCAATTTTTCAATTTATGTAATTCATTTTATTTTTTAAACATTGAAAATTACTAATTGCTATTTTGTTTGATCTGATTTTCTTCTTGAAAATAAATATAAGCAATCGTTTCGTTTTTAATATTTTATCTTTTTTTTTGTACAAAAAAATGTATCAATTTTTTCAATTAAAAATTTTTAAAAAGATAATTATTAATATTAAAATTTAAATTATTTTTAGAAAATGCGGGCAGCTGGCTGTGACTTGTTTCCCGAAAGAGACGCCTTTAGTTATATAAAAGGTCTTCCATTGAAGCACCCTATCGCCGAAAAGCACCTCCAAGCTTGTATGGGACTACTCAGCACCGCGTACACGTTCTCCTGGTCAAGATGGAACTCGACAGTGTCAGCTCGTCAAATAATAATGCAAATAAAAGAGTTACACGGGTGTGTTGCCAAAGAACAAACAAATAAGATGATGATGGTAACTCCGCTTCGGACAAATCTTATTGATTGTACCGAAGTTGGCTCTGAGTTTAGTGACAAACCTATGCCCGGAGAAGAAACTAAGGTACTTTTATAATTATACTCATTAAAATTTGTGTATTTAAATAAGTAAAAACTAAAAAAGTTATTCTTAATGTAAGAAATAAAAACTACAGTTCTTCGCAGATGTTTATCATCTAGCGTTACATACTGCTGGAATAAAAAGCCGACTGCTGATGAAGAAGGTGTCTTTCAAGCTAGCAACGACGGTCACTAAATTATTGGTAGCTACTAATGTAATAAGTATGTCTTCGTGATATGTGATATCTCCACATGATTTTAGTTTTGCAGATATTTATTTTATAAATAATATATTTATTTTATGAAAAAAATTTTTTATTAAATGTTATACATATTAAATAAAAATATACGCAAGTTACTCAACAGTCGGTGTTGTAAATTATTGATTATATTATGAGTTACCATATATATATAAAAATTTTTATCATCTTTGTTAAATAATGACTTATTAAATTGCACTGTACGTTTTTAACTACCGACCTTTTTAAAGATATAAGCTCATCTTGATGTTACACTCATCAAGAGCTTTCATTTGAATACCTACATGCATTTTTGATATATTTTTCATATATACATATATATATAATATATATTATATATAAATATATAAAATATATGAAAAATTGATGTGGGTACTAAAATGAAAGGTCTCGATGAGTATAATGTAAGGATGAGCTTACATCTTTAAAAATGTCAATAGTTCACGAGATACAAGGTCATTTCTTAATTATGTAATATATATTTCAAAGATATAAGCTCATCACGATGTTACACTCATCAAGAGCTTTCATTTGAATACCTACATGCATTTTTGATATATTTTTCATATATACATATATATAATATATATAAATATATAAATATATGAAAAATTGATATGGGTACTCTAATGAAAGGTCTCGATGAGTATAATGTAAAGATGAGCTTATATCTTTAAAAATGTCAATAGTTCACGAGATACAAGATCATTTTTTAATTATCTACTAGCGAAAGATTAATTTTTAATTTTTAATCCTGGAATCTTGACGACGAATGTAAAATTACAACAAATTTAATTATAAAACTAGTGACTAGTAAGTAAGTAATACATAATACATTCTACGAGTCAACATTCCGACTGACTCAACTGTAAGTATTAAGTATTTGAGTTATCGAACGGATCTACACAAACTTTCAAATCCGGTAAATCTTAATGAGACATTTATTAGTGAGTTTTTAACTCAAATCACTTCAAGGAATTTAGTCATTACTCATTATATAAATACATTATGACTTTAAGGACATAAATTAAGCTTATTGTTAAATATTTTTTAAGTGTTTGATAACTTACAACGAGCTGATAACACTTTTTTTTTATTTATGATTGTCAAAATAATCTAAAAATAATTTTTGAGTTTACGTACAATGTGAAAGTGTGTCATTAGTTGACTAGATTAACTTTAATAACGAGTATTTTTTTCAAATACTTGAGCTTCAGTAGTAATTTTGTTTTTTTTTATTATTATTATTTTTCTAGCGTTAAATATTGGTTGTATGTCACTAGTAACAACTCTAAATGTAATTGCATAATTATATATAGAGTTGCAGAAAAAGATCTCAGGTGAAAATCCACTTTTTACTTCTTAACTTAGAAGTTTATGATGGTTTTTTTTTTTTAATATTTATTCCAATGGAAGTTTTAAGCGAAATAATTAAAAAAAATTGCACTTTATTTAGACAAAAATTAACTTTAAATCGTAGAGAAAATTACATGAGAGCGAAATTAGCAGACAATTGATTTTTTTTTATTTTTGGATAAATGTAAATGAAGTTATTGTATTTAAAAATGTGATGACATTTGCGGGAAGAACTTTCAAAAATTTCTAAGTGTAATAAATAATTTTTATTAAAAAGAAATTATTTAATTAATAAAATATTGAAATTTTTGTAAAACTTTTTTACAGCTTCTTAATTTTTTTACCAAGTCGAAAAAAAAATATTTCAAGTAACATTTTAAACAAAATTGCTTGTTATTTATTAAAATAACTTATTTATCACGGTGAATAACAGTTACGAAATTTGCAGTATTATTTTTTTATTTAAATTGCACTAGAATTACAGATGGCAACTCGACTCGTACATAATATATTAAAACGTTACCTAAGTACCGGAAATCGATCGTATATTGAAAAAGAATGATTATATACTAATGATAGTATCCTATAGTCGTCCGGTGACTCCAGTGTGTTTATAAATAATTAATTTGCTAGGTTTTAAATAAAATTATAGAAAAAAAAAGGTTCAAAGTAAGTTCACTTGCAAATTTTAGAAGTGTCGTATAAAAAATAAAAAAGCCGCTTTCAAAATAATGACCCATATAAGTTATACTTTACAAACAATCACTTTAATTTCATTTTAAAGAGTTTTATAATACAATATATAATAACAAGTAATATTAATTATAATTATACCCATTATAAAATCTTTCTAGCATGAACATTTATTTCCTTAATTTAAAAACATTAAATACATAAATATTCTTCTTATAAATGTTTTACTTAAAACACTTAAATATATTATAATAAAAATAGTTCTTTTTTTTTCCAAATTAACAATGAATTTATTAATAAAAAAAAAAAAATAATCATACTCCTTCAAATTTTCGACGAATATAAAACTATTTTTTATTTAATAAAAAAAAATATCTTCTCTATAAAAAAAGACTTAAAATTTTATTGAAAAAAAAAAAAAATCAACTATAAAAAACAATAATTTACACTAATATATCTCCAACTCACAATAATTAATAAAACGTCTCGTTCTACTGACGTAAGATGACGTCACGGCGATAAGCCGACATGCGACTCACGAATTATACTCGTAATAATACCAATAATCAAATTACTCCTTAATCGTGGATAGATTCGTAGAGTAAAAACTTACTTTTTACTCTTAATCCTATTAATATTAAATTAACAATAAAAAATAAAAAATGAAAGCCAATAATTAACAAAGACCTCTATAAAATAATCCATCAGCTCCGAACAATAAATAAATTTAATAACGCATTTAATTAAATATAATGGATAATGGATATATTAAGGTGAATCCTACTCAATATAATATTAAATGTTTAATACCTGTTTCATCGACGCGCTCGAAAAGCCACCTCCACCTCCACCACTACCATCATATGATACATCATATATTGTATTGTATATCATATATTATAATATAGTAGGTGAGCAGAGGTATATTTCAAGGTATTCGGACACGGTTGAGTATGAGTGTTGAGGTGTATTGAGTTTATATTACCTGTACCCACACATACACCTTATAATATCTACCCACACTCGAAAAATCCCATCTGCAGTACTATATTGCAGTATGTGTGGTATCACGTGTATTACAAACACCAACGAGTAAGGCTAACTTGAGAGAGTACGTTTTGTCGGATAGGAGCCAGGCTGCCAGAGTTTGAGACTTACCTGTATTATATAGTACCGCACAAACGCCGGACGCTCGTTCACTAACTGACACAATACAACAAACAGTGCTCCAAAAGAGTTTTTATTTTCGCGGTTAATTGTTTTTTATTTTGACTTATAAAATAAATAAATAATTAATGGATGGAGTGTAAATTTAAAATAGTGGAAATAATATTAGCGCGTTACGGCCCTAGTGACCTGTTTTGAGATCAGGTTTTTATTAAATTCATTGCATTCGGCCTTGCACCTGCCTTGTCCGTTGGTTTTAATTTAAACTTCGGCAAATAAATAAGTTATTTGTTAGCAAGTTTGCAAGTCACTGGAATAATTGTTTAGTTTGTTTAGTTTGTTTTTAAGTGAGCAAGATTAGAAAGTTACGATTCGGGTCACACGTGCATTCTACAATTTCAATTTTTTAAATAATTATTTTAATTTTGTTTTTTCATTTGTGCAAACGGTATTTATTGTACCAAAATATTAGTGCGTCTGTTTAATAAGTTTTGTTGTTTCAAAGAGTTCTAAGGAAAAATTAATTTTTGTTTTGTGAAAGAATAAGTGATTTTTATATTATTTTACTGATTAAAGGAAAAATATAATGAAGAGATGAATTCTCCAATTGTTTCGGGTGATATTTTGGATGACGAAGGATATAAACCGCGTTTTGTTAGGGTATGTTTTCTTTTTTATTAATTTTTTTTTTTTTTAATTTAATTATCTGAAATTTTAATTTTAAAAATTAAGAGATTTTTCTAATTGTCAAAAATTTATTTTTTTTAACTTAATAATTATAATTATATTTTTTTTAATGCATATATTGCATATTTATGTCCTTAGTTAGTATTTTTTTTAATTTTAATATCGAAAATTTTAATTTTTAATTTTTAAATTAAGAAAATAAAATTTAAATATTTTTCTAATTGTTGAAAATTTATTTTTTTAACTTAATAATTTTAATTGTAGTTATTTATATTTTTTCAATGCATATTTATGCTCGACATGCACCCATTCCGAAATATTATTATGGATGCAGTGAAATTAGTATCAACTGTGTTAATATATTAAAATTCTTCGTGTTGTTCTCATAAATATACAGACTCTCGATAATTGTTTTAAATTATTTATTTATTACTTATTACATTACGCTAATAACAATCTGGATTTTACATTACAATGGTAACCTTCTTCATTGTCTGAAAAATGAGTTATTAAGTGCTATTTCAAGAATATAATTTCCCGTAATTACATTTTTTTTTACGTCGAATTATGTCACTCTGTTATTATATTTTAATGTTTTTTATAATTTAATGTTCTTCTAAAAAAATCATTAACATTTTATCTATTTAATATTCTTCAAATTTTAATTAATAATAATAATAATAATGTTTACCTTTAAAATTAAAGTTAAAAATTTTTTTAACGATCATAAAAAATTTGCTACTAATATTTTTTACTTAATTTATTTCCTTGCTTTTTAAAGTACGATAAAAATCTGCTAGTTTATCGGATTTAGAAAATTTTTTACATGATATTTATTATCATTAAAAATATAATCAGTAATTTAGAATCTACTTATAGAGATTTAAAAATATTTAAAGAGCCAACTAATGAATTATCTGTATAGATATTGACAGTAATCTTTATTTAAGATAAAAAATACTGAATAGGGCTTATTAGAGGTACTTTGAACATAAGATTAACGTTTTTATGTTTGATGTTTTGAGAGAGTTAATTATAAATAACTGGACAGTGAGGTCCATGCTTCTATAGAAAGTTACATAGTTGCATGGAAGAAATAAATATTTACTATTAACTAGCATAGTTTTATTTTAAGCTAGAATTTTTTATATTTATTATTATTAAAATAAAAATATTTTTTCTAATAGAACTAAAATTTTATTTATCATAATATATTAATTAAAAACCTGGAAAAAAAATATCTAAAACCTTTCCGTTCTTGAAATTAATTTAGACCCGATAAATAAAAAAAATTCAAGGTCTAGATTTTAACAGGAATTTATTTAGAGGCCACTTAAATATCCACAAAAAATTTATTTAAAAAATGATAACGTCTTTTAATTTGACGTAATTTAAAAACACACTATTTATTTTTACTAACTATTGCTTCTGATAATTTATAACTAACTTCTAAACAATTACTTAAGTTAAATGCATGCATTTTATCCTTCTGGAATGTCATGCGAAAGTTATTCAACAAATAACTTGTTGCAATAAATAAAAAATGATAAACTACAAATATTTGAAATTTGTGTTTATTAAAAATAAAATCCTACAATTATTTATTCTCAATCCAAAGTCTAAAGTTTTTTCATCCAGCGGCCTTTGATTCACCTCACGACTCATGATTTTTATTGCGTATACATTTTTTGTTTATTAACATTTATCCTTATTTGTTTATTAATATTATGCCTATTAAATTTTTTATTTATATGTCGTAATACTTTTGCTTCTCATGGCGTTTTATTCATATCAGTCGAATCCTAATTAGATATTTCTATCCAGCGAGAACTAAACTTGTATTACCCGTAATACGAGTTATTAATCTCAAAAAAACTAAATAAATAAATATCAATGGTAAACTTTCAACATTAATTATACAAAAAAAAAAAAAAACCTTACGCACTTACATACAAGCAAATAAAGGTAAAAAAGTTTGTATATCCTAAACTGGAATTAAATGATAAAGCGAGAAATTATAATGAGTATGACTTAAAAAAATTTATTGTCATAGAAAGTGAGCTAACCTCATATTTCATCATTGTATATTGTATATATACAAGCTTAAATTAAATCTAATGTAAGCCAAAGTGCGATGGCATTATCTGTAGATTTTACAGCCGAGATTATTAGTTGATTATAAAATTAAAAAATTACAAAAGAAAAGTAATAGAAGACTAAACCATTTACGTTGTTTACGGTCAACTGTGGTTTATCATTATCATCCAGAAGCCTTTTTGTTTTGGTAAAAGGATCGCTTATATATGTATATACATATATGTACTTACGTCCATGGATATTACTCATATCATTCGAATTA